GATGCTGTAGCTATAGCTAGTACTGACAGTGGGGAGGCAATACGTGCCTTAGAGTGTTGGAAGGCATTCCATGGCCCATTTAGTGTCTTGGTGTCTGACAATGCCAGTACATATCAAAGCGACCAATTTCGGAGGTGGTGTAAGGGCAATGGGGTAATGCACATGTTTATAGCTCCCTACCGCCATGAAAGTATTGGGGTGGTGGAGCGGTGCAATAGGACCGTTGTACATCAGCTCGGGAAGCGGGTTCTAGCTACGGGTGGCACATGGACGACCGAATTAGATTGGGTTGTTCAGAATATAAATAGGTCAGTACATTCAGTTGCCGGAATGACTCCAAATGAGCTGTGGGGGGCTGACTACAAGGTCAGACTGGAGGCCCATCAACGAATGGCCAAGGCAAGGGACCGAGCCAATCAGAACCTCAGAGTTTTCAGGGAAAATCTGCAAGTTGGCGACACTGTCCTTGTCTACGATTTTAGTCGCCTCAAGAAACAGTGAAACAAGTTGATGAAACGCTGGGCTGGGCCCTACAAACTGGTCGAGAAGCTTCCCGGCAGCCTCTGGAGGGCACAGGAGCGGATACGCGACAAGCCGGGCCGGAAGAAGATCCTTGTGTTCCATGAGAACTTCATACAGAAGTTCGACGATGATGAACACGTATGGTGATTCAACCAGAAGACCAGAACTTCGGAGTAGAAGCGCAGTTCAGCGTGGGAGTGCCCATGTTAAAGTTGGCCATTTCCAGGCCATAAATGACATGGCAAATGTCTCCATCAACTTCATATTCCCAGCATCGACTGGCAACATTTCCAGCAGCATCGACTGACCACCATTAGCTACAGCATCAAGAGCATTTTACATCGGAAAATAGCGGCAGCATGAGGAGCGATCAAAAGACTACAAAACCGACCAGAACTGTAGGAGATCAAGCCGCTCAGCGATCACAATTCCGGAACCAGTTCCCAAGTACAGTTTCACTACCCTGCATGACCAACTACGCATCTGCATGCAAGGTCCCGTCTGACTTTGATGCCCAGCATGGGATAACGACATCCTCTCACACACCCACAAGCCGTCAGACGACCAGTCCGACATCCAAACACCGTCGAAGACCTCCAAAACGGCAAAAGCGCACAGCAGCGCTTCCCTGCATTCTGACCATCCTGCACAACGAGTCCCACCTCCCAGTCCCACTGCCCAGCAGCTGGTTGGCGGTTTCCCGGCAGCCATGACAGCAACGCGATTCTGCCAGGTCAAAAGCTGGCGCTTTCTGATCGCCCAGTTGCTCGCCTCCGGCGACCTCTGGCTCTCGAGATGGTATCTCGAGAAGGCGGACTGCCCGGAAGGGTACTCGAGCTTCGGGCTCACCGTCATCCTGCCGTTCAGCACTGAGGACGCGCAGTGGCTGCATCACCAGCGGGATCATGGCGAGGAGGCCTTACGCTATCAACTGCAAGAGCAGGCGCGCGAGGCGTACGAGCGCACGGAGTCAACGCAACTAACGTCAGGACATCTGCCAGGGCCAGGGGAGAAGCCAGACTGGAACCCTGACTACAAGCCGGAGGCCGTGTACTGCCCCTGGACCCTCCAGGTGCACCCCCATCCGCACCGGCCGTACACCGGCATGGGTACGCAGGCCTTTTGGCAGCGGATCGCCGCGATGATCGAACATGAGGGTGGTCGGATTCAGGCCTGGCGAGGCGCCGAATTGAATTACTACAGGCGCGAGGTACACATCAGCCTCGACATCAGCGTGCCGTTCTCGGACGCGAGGTGTTGGCGCATGGAAGGTGGAGGCGTGACCCGCCGCGAGTACGCAGCGACGCATCCATCACGAGCGTCTGAGGTCTTCCCGCGGGAGAAGAAGGACTTCGGGATCCAAACGGAACCGAACGCCGCCGTACTGCCCTCGGCAGCCTTCGCGGAAGCCAGCGCGATCGTGGCGCGACGACTCAACGCGGGCAAACCGCCGTACACGGACGTCGAGGTACGCGCGGAGGAGCGCGCTTGGCGGAGGGCCATCCGGCGTCAGCGCCGGGAAGCGCGGGCGCGTGGTCAAGCCCCGGATGACGTCATGGTGGATGCGCCCAGTGAGGAGCCGCCTACGGTACTGGCAACCATCGGCACTGCCGAGGTGACGACACCTGCCCTGCCACCCGGTTTTGATGGGACGCGCAACGAGAGGGTGATGATGCCATCGCTGCCACCGGGATTCGGTGGCTGAAAGACGCGGACTACTGAAAGTCGGTAGACAGGACGGCGATCGTGACGGGACGAGGTGCACGCTGGCAGATGACGCGATGACTGGAGGCCGCCTGAAGCCAGCTGGCGCGTTTGGAGCTGTCCAAGGGAATCCCTGGCGGAGGAGGAGTGTGTGGGAGTCTGGCTGGCATGCGATTGTACGGGGTGGACTGTAGTGGAATGTGTGACTGATTGGGTCTTTTCTTGTCCGGGAGTGCGAGTGGACTTGGAAGGGTGACGAGAGGGGTGAACCAATGAGGAGCAGCTGTACCAAACAAACACTTCTATAATAAAAAGCCACGGGGAGTCTGTCCAGGCAGCTCTCCGGCAGGCCTTTGTGTGACTCTCTTTGTGTCCCAGCCGCCTGTACCTCCCCACCGCCGCGCCACAGCCCCCCGCCGGCTCGACCAATCACCGGTCTTGCCCTCTTGCGGTACCCGTGTGTCCGCAAGCCGGCCTAAGGAGCCCCGAGGCTCTGTGGCGTGTCTCACACTCGCGCTGAGTGGTGAGTAAGACGGTCGTGGGATCCAGAGTGACTGAGGGCGGCGCATTACGCAAGGCGAGCACCGTCGCTGGTGCTGGAGTGCCATAGCACCCTACGGGAGTGCGGATCGGCCGGTACGTGCAACAAGTGGACGCTGTGAGGGCGTTGCGTCGTACGGAATTGGTGGAGACCTCTGCGGTGAGGTGCGAGGGTGATATGAGCTTTCCGGGAACGCCCATGGAAGGAGCTGCCGTCATGGCGGCGTTGGCTGGCGCTGTCGGGTGGGGTGTGAGGTTCCTGGGCGCTGGCATCCAATGGATTGGGGAACTCTTGGTGACCCTACTCGGGTGGCTGGCCTGGATGCTTAAGATTGATGAGACGAAGACGAATTCAATGATAGGAGCGGTCAGCTTGGTCTATAATGGCCTGGCCCTCCTCATTTTGTTCAACATGACTGCCGCCATTTTCTGCGCAATGGGGCAACTTCTGCAGAGATGAATTGGGAAGCATAGGGGGACTGTGGGTAGCAATGTGGGAGTATGGAAGAAGGGGGTAGGTACTGGGTAGGGACCTCAGGAACGCCGGCAGGCGGAAGGGTCCAGGTGGGCTGGCTTAGAGGAATAGGTACGGGGAAGTGGGGACAGGATGGGTCGGACGGTAGGGTTGGGAAGTTCAGAGGGAGTTCAGGGGATTTCGTTCTGGGCGAGAATTGCCAGTATGCTTGTGCGGAGCGATGGAGCTGGACGTGTCGTGGGGGGTGCTGTCAGTCAGCGGGTACACCTTCAAGGGCTGTACAATCGAGGGAACGCCTATAAAAAGACAGACTGTTCTGTTATGAACGCTTGGGTTCTGACCAAGTCGGACGTGCGGCCGCGCAGGCCAAGTTGATGCGCGCAACCTCCGCCGGGCATCCGCGAGTGAGCCGGCCGCTGTGCTGCCCAGTGACGTGTACTGGCACTAACATAGTAGAAGGCCCTTGAAGCAGTGGATGGGTTGGGACTCGATGCCAACGCGGACGCAAAAAGGAAAGAACATTGGAAACAAGAGTGCGGAACGTTGGTGATGTGGAGGACCGCCGAGTCCGCCGAATGCATTCAATGTATGCGGGGCCCTTGCCGCAATGAGACCATTTTGGTCTGTCAAGTTTGGCCAGGCCTGAGTACAACCCCACCCCACAGTTTAGTCATTCATGCCGTCCGTTGGACTGGCTGCATGCTCCGCTGCCTGAAGCTCCCCGTTTGGCCCAGTGGAGACCTCAGGTTTCCTGGCCTCGTCTCAAAGGCGCCCGCAGACAACGCAATGTGCTGCAGGCATGTGCCCAGCGTCCCGATATTGCACAAGGTGCCTTTCAACTGGGTGCTGCCAACATCCAACAGCGACATGCAACCCAGACTCGCGCTCAGCACTGGACTCTGCACAACTCTGTATTGCTGTAAACATAAATCATGATTTCACGGTACCGCTGTTCCCACTGCTTGGAAGAGAGCACGGAGGGCCTTTGTTGTTTTGCACCAACTGGCGTATGTGCTCATTTGGACATTGTTGCCTTTGGTGCACCTGCCAGTTTGGCTCAACCACAGTCGATGCTGCACAGACCACGGCACTCCACACCATCAAATCACACGTTGCTTCTGCAGCGCAGCCAAAATTACATCATGTGGAGCCATATGCCAGCGGTGCAGTCGTTTCTGGCCACCCTTGTGCGCACGCCTCAAGACACCTCGCATGCTGCCCAAGCAGTGGATGAGAGATCCACATAAAAACACCATGGGCAGCAAAGGCAGCCCAGCACGCGAGGGTGCCCGAAACAGCCAATATTGTTCCAACTTTGCCTGGGCTGTCAGCGCAAAGGCAGCAATAATATATGTTCGTCAGCATTGCGCACCCCGTTCCCGGCTGGTTCCACTCAAAACAGAGTATTGGCCCTGTCCAACAGCAGCCTTAGAACCGTTTCCCAAAGTGCTACCCACGTCACGCTATTTTTGCCTGTGTACTAGCTTGTACCACTGTCTGTCTATCCCACCGTCTGCCTGCCCTTGCCAGGCATGTAGTCATCTCCGCCCATCCAACAAGAATACTCCATAGCGAGCCTCCCGTCGCACAGCAGGACAGCGCATAGATGCTTGTGCGATGTGTGCGGGCAGGTCTTGAACATGCACGGGACACAAAGGTATTCTGGTGCACGCTTCAGGCACAGAACGGCCTCCTGCCTCCACATGCACGAGCCCAGGAGGCTCGCCAGAGGCGCGCTGCTGCTCGTCTGTGTCGACCATCAATACCTATAACCGTAATCCTGGACAACAGGTGAACAGCAGGACAGCAGCATTAGTGTGATGTGTTACTTTGGAACTATTTAACAAACAAGGAATGTTCATTTTCTATTCCCAAATACACCATCACGAAAGTCCTGACTTGGAACAAGATCTATGGTGACCAATGATGACACAATGACACACTGGCCCTCCCTCCCCAAGGCACCAAGATCCTCTGCTCCAAGATCTTGTTCCCCCAGCATCCAAAATCCGCGCAACTTTGGGCTTTGACTTGCAACAAGGGGCCCATCTCTCTAAACAGGACAGCCGTGACAACTGGACACTAATGCCATCATGTGAGCAAAGTTAGAGTGCAGGAAGCCAGCATGAACTCACTGTGCTCAAACATCGTCAAAACTGTAATTACTGAAGCTCTTCAACGCCATCAATATACCAGATATAGCCCAAGCCAAGACAGGAGCAGCAGATCAGGAAGTGCAGTTCGTTGAGCAGGTGGTGAGCAACCGCAGAGTTTGAGCCAGGAAGGCTCGGATGCAGCTACGCAGCTTGACCTGGTGCTGCTGTACATGTCTCCATCATTTGCTCATTGCCCTACTTCCTATTGTGCACTTTGTTCAGCCTGAATTCCTCAGTTTCTCCACTATTTCACTTGGTTCCTTTCTCAAAGTACAAAACAACAGCTTCTGAGGAGAATGCTCAACGTATGGCTTCCCTTATCGCGTTCTTAGCACAGATGGCTGCACTGAACTAGCAGGCACTGTGCTACACTGCTTGCAAGCATGAAGCACACGGGCAGCAAATCGTCCTGAAGCGCACAGCATGCTACTGTCCAAGATCTAGGCCAACAGGTATGCATGCCCAGCCTTGCCCAGTTGCTCACAGCCTTACGGCAGATCCACCACTAGAAAGTGCCCATTTGCGTGCCCAAGTACATTCACGCCCTTTTGAGAGTTGAGGCAGAGACAAATTCCTCACCTCGTGACGTCTTCGTCGGTGGTCGTCTGACGATGGTCCTGAGGCCTTGTACGAGCGACTATATGGCGATCGCCTCCTGGCAACATCACCAATTTCGTGTCAGCCACACAGCTTCGGTTGCATTCCTTGCAGGTAACGCAACTGCATGGGCAGATGCCCCCATGATAGTGCACCGCTGTTGGGATGTTTTATTGCAACAAACCAAACTGAGGCTTTCAACTGCAGCAGCAATCAGGGAGTGTACAATTGCCCCGGAAAGGGTGCAAAATGATATGCATGCAACCATGCATGCCAAATAGTATGTGCGTCAATGTTGCATCCACTGCACAACCCACAATCAGCTACCTTGCAGTGAGACAGCAATCAGGAAATGAAACAGCAGAGACACTGCACTCAAACTTGCAGAGAACTTGCCCATGCACTGGCCCATTCCATTCTCCCAGTTTGCTTATTTGATCACTGCAATTGCCCCTGATTTCGTCCAAATTTCATTTCACTCATGGTTCTGACCATACCTTGGAGAGGGAGACCGCCGGCGCCTGTAGTGGTCCCTCGACCTGTCCCTGGCCCTGTCTCGTGACCTGTCCCTGGCCCTGTCTCGCGACCTGTCCCTTGACCTGTCCCTTCGCCGTTCATCCCTCCCCCTGTCCGACCGCCTGTCCCTTGGGGCCCGGTCATCTCGGTCTCGATCCCTGTCTCGCGAGACCTCGCGCTCGTGCTTCAGCCTGTCGAACTTGTCCACGAGCAGCTTGTGCTCTTCCCGTATCCTCTTCCAGCCAAGGTACTGTTTGCCATTGAGGTGGTCCTGCACAGTGGGAAGGTTTAATCAGTGGGTGAATACAGCTGCTCAGCCGCACAGTGCTTTGTGTGTACACACACACACATACATGTTTCGATGTTCCACACTTCTGTGCTTGTCATTACAGACACAAGCCGATGTCGACTTGCAAGTATCTGCCTTTGAATTTGCAACTGGCGTGTAAGACATGATCTCCTTCGTCACTCATTCTCACAGTTTTGGATAGCAAAGCAAACATCGGCCACAGCATGGAGCTGCAGGCATGTATTGGGTACAACACCACTACTCCAATGCTGCCCTGCTGTGTGCATGTATCCTCAAGGCAGGAAAAGTCCCCAGGCAATGACCATCAATCACATTGCTGCTATCACTGACACCTTGATGAATGGGCTTTGCCAGTTTTCCACTGCATCCTTGACGGAAAAAATCAAACGACTGCCCCGAACAATCAACAAGGTTGCTTGGTCACAAAGAATACGGATAACAATGTTACTTTCCACGGTTGGTTTTCCCTTGCCTGGAAGGTGCCAGGCACTTCCTTAGGTTTGATGCTGCCCTTCTAACATTGCGGAAAATTTCCAGCGTGCTAAACCATGACCCAAGAAAATTAACAGACACTGGTTGGTGTTTCTGCGCACGTCATCGCCTGCAAGGCAACAGGCCTCTTTTTGTCATGTTCATTCGTCATTGCAGTCCATGAAACTGGAAGCCAAGTGACAGCATCGCGCACCCTCCAGATCACTAAGGATGTTGTGTCTAGTTGGCAGCCACAGAAAACAGCTGCTCAAGAAGATATTCTGAGCAACAGGAAGTGAGGGGTGACAGGTGCCAAAACACTGTAGGAGCAAAGAGTCATGGATTGAAACAGCATCTGACTGTCTGACAGGTTGAAGGACAGTGTTTGTCATGTATTGATAAATACAGTCAAGGCTTATTTTCAACATATCCAAAGCCACCCAAGCCAACTGCCTGCAAGTTGGGAAGAACATAGCAACAGACCAAACAACCACCACACCACACGTAACTCCCCTCTAGCCACACAACACAAAAAACTAACAATGGAACTGCCCCATTTCCGTGCCGTGTGTTTAACTTACTAAACTCGCCTTTTTGCGCTGTTCATTGTCCGTGCTGTTGATGAAGACGCCACAGATCTCACAAACCGTCATCGTGCGCTCAGGCTGGGTGAGGGAGCGCTTGAGACTGTCATGCTGTTGTTTAAAGGACTCTGCTTGCTGTGCAAACATCATCGAGCCATCAACATCGCCTTCCTCACCAAGTGTCTGCGATTTCTCCAGCGACTCTGCACAGAAAAACCAACACACCTTGTCAATGCTTGGCATACTGGCCAACAACACTGATGGTGTTCTGGGCCCTTTACTGCACAGCTTGCTGCAAAGGTTTTGCTTAACCATCACAAAGCTTTACACCAATCAAGACCAATCAAGACCAGTCAGCAACTTTGCGCTCCAGAGTATCTACTGACACCCTTGGGACCAAAGCACATAGCCATGTCGTCATTTCAACAGCGAGTTTTCTTTACGTACTGTGCTTCTTTGGCATGCTAAACGTGCAGCACTCCAGACAGTTTCAGTTTTCAACACAGTTTCAGTTTTTCCTCGATATGACACCCATCGACCACCAAACGAACTGTTCTGGGACACACTGGTTGACTGACTTGGTTACCTGTTTGTATGTCGGCTGTGCAACAACTCTCGTGGCCTTTACATAATAGGCTCTCATAGCAGAATGTGCAGACTCTCATCCAGTTGAAAACACCAGGATTTAGCAGTGCAGGGCTTTCTAATACAAAAACAACGTCCCTTGGCTGCAGGGGTAGTGTTTTCAGCTTTCACTAGTCAAAGAGGGTTTACGCCACACATGCAGCCTCATCTGGAACTTGGTAAATAGGGGTGGGGTGAGGTGGGGGAGGAGGTGATGGGTGAGGTGGGGTTCAGGGGCAAGCCTCGTCGATCACGTTTGTCGAAAGCATGAGAACAGTCCTTTTGCCCACAAGGCGATATCGCAGGATGATATGCAATGTTCGTTGGACTACAGTTGCCAACAGGTTTTGTGCAAGGGCTTTCCAAAGGGAAGAGAATAGCCCTTGCCCACCATGAATGTGATGACGTGGCAAAAGCAACCAGCAAACGTTTGTTCAGTGCCCTACGATCAGCGTTCCCCACACTGCCTTGTCTGGTGAGGGTCAGCTTTTTCTTTTTCACCAAAAGGTACTTGGTGTTTTCATTTGCCAGGTACTGTGGCTGGGCTTTTGGCGCCTTGCACTGCTCATTGTGTTGCCTGCTCTTGCACCTGGAATGCACCTTACCTTGGTATTCATCCATAATGGTGCTTTGGATAAAAGAGTACTACAAAGTCACGTTTAGAAATTGCAGTCAATGAGGACTTTATGGCATTCTTCGCTACACCAATACTTGCTGCCTGCTTTTCTGTTGCGGACTTGCATACTTCCCCCACAACCACAGCAAAGAACTGTGCAAAATGTAATGCTGAATACAATAAAGTACAACACATTGCACAAGCAGAGTACAAATTATATCCCCCCCCCCCTGCTTAGGAGGGTATTCTCCTTCTCAACACAGTGTGCCTTGTTCATTTCCCTGTCAAGAAGACCATCTGCTAGCATAGCACATCAGATGTAGTTCCCGTGTCGATGTAGGTGAGAGCAACCCGGGCCAGCAGGGTCTGTTGTTACCTTCATACTGTAAGGCGGCAAAGGCCCCACAAACCAACCAAGAGGTTGTTGGGGTAGGCTGCTGTGCTCTCACAACAGATGCACCAAGAGAACAACAGCGATGCAAGGGAGAATTTAGGCTGTTGACACTTTGCATCTTCTGAAGCATGCAAAGAAACAGAGCTTGCCCAAGATGAACAACACTCTGCCTGAGATTCTGGTGCACTAGGTGAAGTGGCATACTTGTGGATATACCAGTGTGCAAATCCATGCATATACAACCTGCTCACACCCATGCACTCGATGCGCATAGTCTACATCTCTTTGCTGGGCTGGATGAAATGTCCAACCAACATTTCACCTTGTGTGCTTCTGCAAAGAAGTGGTGACTTGCCACATTCCAAAACATATCAACAAACATACGAAGAATCAGGTTTGTCCATATATGCATGTATAATAGTACCTTTGATTTTCAGTTGGATTTCAGCCAACCTCTCCCTGTCCTCCCCCTTCAGTTCCCTGGGCGCACTCTCCTTTTCTGCCCTCTCCTTTGCCTTGGCAATCTTTCTGTCCATATCACGGATGTGCTGCTCAAGGAGACGCAGCAGATCCCTTTCATAGCCATACCTGCAACACAAAGCAGGCTTCGAGATTGTTCAAAGCATTCAAGCAAAAGACCATATGTTGAGCAGTGTGTCCATATGTTGTCAACATCAAATCCAGCTAAAAATCCACATCAACTCAAGTCACCTGGTAGCGCGCTGTATGTGTTCATGGGTCATGTCCACCCCACTATCTCTGCTTGATTCACTAACCCCACCCGCAAACCTCAAACCAATGCCAGTCATTCTGGCACAAGGGTGGGGGTGCGCCGAGTCCAGTTTGCAGACGCAAAGACGCCAGCACTGAGCGGGGCCACAACTACTATCATCTTCAGCCAAAAGTTTGACAAGTTCAGGCCACCTGTTCAGCAACACAAAGACACCAGATGCAAGTCGACGGATGTCCACTATACCAAAGAGGTGCACCATGGCATCGTGCTTCTCTGGACTACGCTGTGCCACCTTGACCCATGGGATGTTGGATTGCGGCACAATCCACCCCACTAATGTGCTCAGAGCGGCACAGGGGCACTCCCTTGCCAACCACCCCCGCATGCAAACATTAACAACACCAATGGCTGCATTTCTAAACATAGAACAAATTACTGCTCCTCCGCATCTATTTTGGTAGTGTTGGTGGAAAACAGGGCAATGCAAAGCAACAACCGATGACAGGACTGCTTTGCTGTTTCTTGGTAAAACAGTAGTTGGGTCAGGGCACCAGCGTGATGGTGTCAAATGTGCTGTCTCCATGTCTCAGACAAGCACACGCATGTTTGCTCTGGTGTTTCAGCTTTCTTTCATTCGTCTGGGTTTTGATGTGGGCTACGATCAAACATTCCGGAATGAGTTGTGCAGATGCAGTAATGTCCACCACTGACTATGCAGGGTAGTGCATGGTCATTTTCTCCAGACACAGACAACGGGTTGCCACACATTTACCCATCCATTGGCAAGAGTTTCCACGTCACAAGGCCCACAACTCTTCCATGAGCATTGGGGTGGCACCTGGATGCTTAAATGTGATGCACTAGTAAGGAACGTTTCCATGTATGCAAGGCAAGATGCCTGCCAACTACTTTTCTGTACCTCAATCTCTCCTGCTCGCTAAGCTCTGACCATTGCTTCTTGATGTCCTCCCAGTCGATGTGGTCCTCATGCACCTCATACTGGCACAGCCCTGAACAAGCACAAGCCAACTTTCAGCACCTGCTCCAGCCTGCATGTGGGGCCAGCTGCAGGAAATGACAACATGCATGTTGCAGACTGCAAAGTTCACCCCATACCTTAGAAATGCACCTTCATGGCCACAGCGGGAATCCACTCCCCCACTGCAAAAAATTTTGCAACAACAGCAACCCGTGGTCAGCATACTTACCTAAGTCACTCTTGGTGTTCTTGAACAGCATATTGGGACACAGACCTGCCACCTGGAACTTGCACACGCTGGGGTCCGAGAACTTCAGGGTTCGTCCCGTGCGCTCGCCTGGGGGCAAGTCGCGGTCCTTGCCCATCAGCTCATCCAGAATGGCACGCTGCGAGTCCATTGTTGCCAATATGCCACCAACCCACAGTGCCAAGGGCCCCTGCACAGCTGTCAACACATACTTCCTTGTATTCCAAAGTGTTACCATGTGTGTAATAATCCATGAGCTGTCCCTCTCCTAGTAGAGAGGATGTGCGCTTTGCACAACCTCAAAAGTAGGCCCCAAGCGATGTAAAGCCCAAAACAGCAACAGCTACTACAGAATCGGCAGATGGGACAGCCAAGAACCTGGTCGTGGTGCAGTGGGTTTGAAATGCATCGTCATTTTTGTTGCAGTTTGCCATCATCTATCAAGAACTGAAATGTGGTGCAAAAAGAGGGCATCCAAGCAACAAGTGCATAAACGGAAGAGGGCTGCTGCATCGCAATAGCGATCGGACATCCACAGCGATCACGTCAACCCCTCTGCACACCAAGACGGCGACGGACAGACGCCACCAATTCTAAAGCAGGAACGGCTGTTCACTTCCCCACGGCAGATCCAGAAAAGAACCTGAAAACCTGCCCCCCGAATCTGGTGCCACAAGCGCAAGGGTAAACTCTGCAGTCTGGTGCCGCCAGGAAAGCCTCCCAGTGACCGTGATCCCCGGCACTCAGAAATTTCTCTCAAGACAACGGAACAAGCTTTTCTCTGAAGATGGAATCACGACGGTGTCGCCATGGAGGCGCAAATGGGGGAGTGCTGCTGCGCGCGTGGGCGAATGCAAAATGACCAAACGGCTGTCCCAAAAGCCCGCTGGCGCGCACAAGGGCGTGGCGGCGCACTCAGGGGCACAAAGCGGCCAGGGAAGCGGAGAATGCCAAAGTCAATGGCCCTCAGATCGGTCGGCCACAGCGCAACTGCTCGCTCCACGCGCCACCTCCCCGGCGCTGCCACCGCACACGCACCCCCCCCTCCCCCCCCTTGGATCCCGGCAGCGTCTGCGCGGAAAGCGAGCCGCAATATTAGGCTCGCCGTTAGCAAAATCGCGCATGAGAGAACGCTGAAATTGTGCCAAGGGGCTCGGCTTGCGGGGGGAAGGGAGGTGTCCTGATGCTGCCCCTTTCGAGCCGCTTGCAGACACAGATGCCGAAACAGATCAGCCAAGGGCACACCTGCCTGTCGCCGCACCCTGCAGAGGCGCGGAGCTGCGTCGCCGGGGAGTGCGGTCTCGCTGCTGCCGCCGTCAGCTCGCGGCGATGGGCAGGCAGCGCGCAGGCCGGGCCCGCTCGGCTCGCAAACAGTTTTGAAAAACTGGGCGGCGAAGAGTCTTGAACATTTTGGAAGTGCATCTGGAAAACAAAAAAAAGAAGACAGAAAGAAAGAAAATACAGAGGAAAGAAGAAGTTTTCCTACATGTCGTGTAACGACGAACATGCGCGTGTCACCGTCCGTGCTCTACCCGCAAGAAAGAAAAGAAAAACAGAAGGAAAAGTAGGAAAGAAAGGAAAAAAACAAGGGAAGAAAGCCACACGTGCCGAAAGCGTGAAGGCGCCAGCGAGGAGTGGGGAGAGGCGTGGCGAGTTTGCCGCCGAGCCGCGGCGATGTGTGGATGTGTGGGTCGAACCAATGCGTTTGACCTACGCAGTGAAGATGGCCGACTGGCCGCACCGTGGCGTGATCCATCGCTGCGCGCATTCGGTTGGAACTGCAGCATCGCCAACTGGGACAGCTAGGAAATTTTGAAATGTAGTTTGTTTGTTTGTTTGTTGTAGTCTGGTGAAGTTTGATGCAGCTTGGTGCGACGTTCAGCGTCACGGTGCGGAGGTCACCCCTACTGGCCCCGCCCTCGTGCGCTTAGGTCTAGGTTCGTTCGCGCCGTCTTCAGCCGCCAGAAGTACCCGACTGCTCCGCGCAGTCCCCGTCGCCGACGCGCTTGCTGCCAGGGCGCACGGCTCGCCGCACCGGCCGCCGGTAGCCATGGCGGTGGGCAAGAACAAACGGATCACCAAGGGCAAGAAGGGAGGCAAAAAGAAGATGTGAGCCGATCCCTCCATCTTGGGCCCCTTTGTGTTTTCACCCCTCGATTGTTGCACGGGCGGTTTGCCTGACTCGGCGCCGGGCTGTGTGTGCGGGCAGCGTGGACCCCTTCACGAAGAAGGACTGGTACGATGTAAAGGCGCCGTCCGTGTTCAAAGTGAGGAACGTGGGCAAGACGCTGGTGACCAGGACGCAGGGGACCAAGGTGGGGGCGGCGGCTGGTGCAAATGGGCGAGCCTGGCGAGTTCGTCAAGGGCGCGGGCGCTGGAGATGGCCTTGTCGATGTGACAACTCCCCATCTCTTTGATTCGAACGCGGTTGTGGCATCACGGGCGATTCTGAAACGCAGAGCGCAGAAGCCAGCCCTCCTGTCCGAACCTGTTGGTTTGTGCACGCGCTGCGCCGTTCTCTCCGGGAGGCTGCAAGGGGTGGTGGTCGGCCGTCGCTTTGGTTGGACGATGGTTTTGGGGGTGTCCGAGCGCACCCGAGGCATTTGTTTGGGTCCACCATGGCAGTGCATTGACAAAATTCGGCGCGCTCATGGATTGCTTCGCTTGTTTCGTTTGCTTCGGATTGGTTGGGATCGATTTCGTTTGGCTTTGTTTGGTGAGAAGCCTGTCGCTTGCGCCGTCCCCAGATTGCATCCGAAGGGCTGAAGGGCCGCGTGTTTGAGGTCTCACTGGCTGATCTTCAGGAGGTGAGTTGAATCTACGGCGGCTCATCTTGTGCGACTCTGCCCAGCTCCTGCATCTGGGGTTGCAGCGCGGTGGTTGCGCGGCGATCGCGTTCGGTAAAATTTCCAGAATCTCTGCGAGCCCTCTGGAGGATGCAGGGCAACTTGCTGTTCTAGTTGCAAAAGCTTGTCAGGGATCGCTATTGTTTGTTGCCATGCCTGCTGGCCAGTCCATGTTCTGCTCCGTGTAGTGTTTGTAACGTGGCTGCGTTGTGCCTTGCAGAATGAAGACAACTCTTTCCGTAAGTTCAGGCTTCGGGTGGAAGACGTTCAAGGGAAGAACTGCCTCACAAACTTTTGGGTAAGGGACGATTGTGCAAGAATGTGGTCATCCCATTGGATGCCTTCTCATGGAAGTGCAATTGTGCAACTGCCTGGTGGGCACACATATGGCGTCATTGAATTATCAAGCTCGGGGGGCTAGTGTAGTGACCGATGTGCGGCCTGTGCAGCATCAGCAACCGATCCCCCAGGTGCACAAGCGGCTTGATGTCTTGGAATGGGCGATGCCCTGTTTCATCCTTTCGATGTTTCTTGTATGGAAACCAGATGCAACCACTGAATAGGAATAATCGAATCAAAGTGTGCAACCTCCATGTTGGATGGCGACTTGCTTTCCATCCTGTGCAAGTACGTTGTCTGCAAAGTACGTTGGCTGCAGCTGTCTTGGTCCTATGATGCCTATCTGTGGGCCAGCCTTGCCGACCTGTTGGTGATCTGCGAACAGGGCATGAACTTCACGACCGACAAACTCAGGTCCCTCGTCCGAAAGTGGCAGACCCTGATTGAGGCAGTGGTGGAGGTCAAGACGACCGATGGCTACACCTTGCGGGTGTTCTGCATAGGTTTCACCAAGAAACACAGGCACCAGGTGAAGAAGACGTGCTATGCCCAGTCCTCCCAGGTTCGACAAATCCGCAAAAAGATGGTGGACATCATCACAAGGGATGCCTCGTCTTGTGACCTCAAGACTCTTGTGACACATTTCATCCCAGAGGCGTTTGGCACAACGATCGAAAAGGAGTGCAAGGGCACCTACCCCCTGCAGAACGTCTTCATCCGAAAGGCGAAGATCGTCAAGGCTCCAAAGTTTGACTTGACAAAGCTGATGGAGGTCCATGGGGACTATACTGAAGAGGCTGGCACAGCGATTCCTCGACTGGATGGGGAGGAGGAGACCACCGAGACCCCAGGTGGTGATTGGGGCGACAGCTAGATTTCAAACTTTCCTTGTGGGGTGGTTGTGGGAAGTAAGCACGCTGGGAACAACAGCTCGCTGTTTGCTTGCACACGATTTAAGGGGTGTCTTGCTATCTGCCTCCCGGTGCCTGAGGTAAGTGCTGACCATGTGCAATCTGCTGGTTGGCGCCAGTCAGGAGGCATGGATGCTGCGATGCAGCCACCTGTATTGAAACTGCATCTTGGCAGGTTCTGCATCTTGACCATGCCCACCTGCTTTGGGAGACAACATCGGCATCGGCCACAGGAGTTTGCCAGCAAGGGTCACATTCTGCCATACTCTACCTGAGAGCGACAATTGGCAGGACGTCTGCTGGATGCACGTGGGATGATGCCCGCCCTAGCACAGTAGCATGACATCGCCGCCTGCGCTACCTGTTCATGGTAGTCTACATGCGCATCGAGATGGGAACCTTCCTGTCTCTGTGACAGACATGGCAGCCACCCTCTGAAATCTAACCCAGTATCTGGGCTTGTGCAGAGAGTGTAAACTAGGGAGAAGTAAGTAGGAAGGCACGGGGTTGCTGCCAGGACAGCAAGCCAGCCAGGGCTGATATGTTCAGCCGGGCGTGAACGTCACTTACGGAATCCAGAGTAAGGAACACAGTGACGCCGTCACCTTGAGTTTCCATGCGCAGCGCCCTCTTGCTTGGCTACCCTGGTGCTGATGTCGACAATGGGGCACCGACTGACAGCTGAAATTTGCCCCTTGCACCCTTTCCTCACCCAGTGAATCCAATCGAATGTTTCCGCCGCAGTCAGCATACCCAGGCACCACGTCCCCTGAACACTTCGGCGAAGCGCGGATAGTTTCGAGGCCCCTCGCCACATCCCGTCGTAGAGTAGAAGTTCGATCTCCAGCTTCGCCGCCACACCTCCAAACTGTGGAGCTGACAGCCGAGCCCTGGAAAACCTACCTGCCCTACCTACCTGCTTCGCTAAACCCCATGACCTACGCAGCCCGCGCAGCTGCGAACCTGGCCACCCCCTCGGCCATCCTCCCCCCCTCCGGCGCCCTTCAGTGTCCTTCACGCCCCGCGCTCCCCAATTTCGCCTCCCACCGCACACAGGCCCGCAGCCAGCCGCCCCCGCCCCCCTACGCCTATTCGCCGCCTCAAACTAACAGGTGCCCCTGCACACAATACGTCCTTCACAGGGCTTGGCGCCAGATCGACCAGCCGAGGGGGGAGGGGGGATGCTTTCGTGAGCGCGCCCCTCCAGTCGTATGGAAACCCGTCGCTCCAAGCGGCAGGAGAAGTCCGATCCAGACAGGGCATCCGATCGCACCCGCGGCGTCAAACGCCCGCGACGGCAGCAGCAGCAGCAGCAGCCGCAGCAGCCGCAGCAGCAGCATCGGCAGGGAGGGGCACCGACGATCCGCCCGACGACCCGACCTGCGCGGGGGGGCAGGGGAAGTCATCCACGCAAGCCGGCCCCGGATCGGGAATCGAATTCGGGCGCCCTTTCAGGCAGGGGAGGTTCATCGCAGCCGCATCCGCCCCCCAGGCCGCAATCGCCGCCTTCGGAGCGGCATCAGGGAGTGAGGACTCGATCCCGGGGTGCCCGCAGGCTGGGTTCTGGGCTGGGGAACCGGGGATCCAGCCCGGGGGCCCAGGGAGGGTCCAGGGAGGGGTCGGGCAGGGCGGGGCCCAGCGGGGAGGGGGGGATGGATGAGCCGCAGGGGAGCGGCGGGGGAGAGGGCAGCCAGGAGCGGCAGGGGGGGGCCGACGCGGCCCAGGGGAGCGGAAGCGGCGGGGAGGATCAGGTGGGTGGGCTTGCGTCAAGATGGGCTGCAATCCCAGGAAAGCGCGGCGCACAGAGGCGTGTATGTGTGTGTTTGTGTGTGTGTGTGTGCGGGCGCGTCGAGATGTGGATTGGAACCCCGAAGCGCGGGTCATGCAATAGAGGGCCACCCCTTGAGTTGGCATGCGGCGGACCCTGTTCCGCTTTGCTGCGCTGTTGGTGCCGCCGGCGGCAGGGGTGCGGGTGTGTGCGTGCCAGTGCGGCTTGTGCGCTCGATGTTGAGGGGAGACGCGAGGGATTGAGGAGCGCAGCAAAATGTTTTTGATGTTTGGAGGTGCATGTGGGTGGAAATGGGCCAGCGGGTGGCGGGGGGGGGTGCTTTGTGAAGGGGAGCTGCAGTCCGAGGAATTGGGGACATGCGTTGGGGGTGGGGTGGGCGGTGGATTGCAAGTTGTCGTACTGGGAAAACTGCAGATTGCATGAATGGGATTGTTGGCTGATTTGGGGCATTGTGTTTCTGACGCAGGAGCCCAAGACTGAGCAGCAGCCTTCTCGGGCAGCGGGGTCAACGCGGGCTGGGTAAGCGTTCTTGCTTTCTCGATGTGATGTTGTGGCAATGCATGCAATGGGGGAAGCAACTGCACCTCTGTGCAGGGGACAGTGACGCTGCATGGGTGGAGGAAAGAGGGTGTCGCGGGGATAAGGCAGCAGCAATGGGCTGATTTGCACACCTGAGGCTGAGCTCTGATTGTTCTTGCAGAGATATCCAGGTGCTGTTGAGGAAAATAGGTGCCGAATTTCGTGACTCCATGGCGTTCAGTACTGGAATCGCAACTCGCAAGCTTGAGGTACGCATACGATGGTGAGGTTGCTCCTGCCTTCGTATTGTGCGCTGTACAATGTGCATGAAGACTTCAAATTCGAGAATTGGAGAGAGGCCTGCACACTTTTCGTATGACATACAAAATATATGGCTGCCCATTTTATGAGAATCATGGCCTCCTGGGTTGACAGGTCTGCCTGGTCCTTTTCAGGTCTCTTCTGATTGATAGTGCACTCAGTCCTATCGGCCTACGCACACCATCCTTGTGGCCTTGAATTCCCAGGGCCTGTCTCAGCCAGGCCTCTTGATGTCATAGCGGCACTGAACCCTGTTTTGAATGTGCAGGCCATTCTTGAGTCCATGAAGTCTGAGGACCTGTCAGATCAACAACAGGGCCTACATGAGCTGTGCCAGTGCGTAATGATGTCATCAGACGACTCCCTGGCCTCAGCGCCTCAGCTTGGCGAGATCATCCCTCTTTTGGTAGGTTAGGTCCTGGCGACAGCTCTTGCTTTCGTTAGTTGTCTCAGCTGATTGGGACTGACGAGGAGATTGGGGGTGTTGGGGGCGGTGTGCGCAGAACTTCAAGATCAGTGTTACATCTTATATATGGGACAAGGGACTGGGCACTTTGGTCTCTTGTTTGTTTTCCGCACCGTGGCCTGGCATCCATGTTGGCATCTTGTTCCATAGTGTGGGAGATAGTTGCAAATCCTTTTGTCGGAGTCCATTCCTTCGCCTTCTTGCTGTCCTCCTCAAACCAGATGCATGGTGGTGATACACAGTGCTGTGTTGAAAGCACCGATCCCGGAGTGTTGAAGTAAGCGTGTGTTGTGACCTTTGACAGGTGAATTTCCTCAGTGCAGAGCACAGCTTTGAGCTGATGCTGTACTCTGCCCGGTCAATCAGATACTTGGCTGAGAATCTGCCGGGCTCATGCCGTCAGATGGTGCAATTTGGGGTGGTCCCAGCTCTTAGTGCCCGGATGCTGGCAATCGAATTCATCGACGTTGCAGAAGAATCCTTATCAGTGAGTACTGCATGTCTTGTGTGTATTGTGGGCTGCTGGTTTGATGGCCACCCCATGGTTGGAGGCACATATTTCCTGTGGAGGTGTATCTTCTTGCTTCAGTGTTCTTTGGTTTGTGGTGGCTGATGTCTGATAGAAGGTTTGGAGCTGAAGTGCCTGTGCTCTACATCGCTCTGGTACACTGGTGAGTACATTTCATGACAATTGGCGTGAGTCTGTGTTGCAACATGCAAAGCAGCATGTAAAATACATGGTGTATAAGCCCAGGTCTGCATGTCTGCAAGGAATGTATTGAACAGGAGTGTGCAGGGCGCCATATCTGATGTTGCTTTGGGATAGTGGTACACTGCCTCAACCTTCTCAAGGCAAGGACAACCGCAAGGCTTTTTAACTTGAAGAGTACATGGAAGGGTGACTCAGTTTGCCCAGGTTTGATAAATCATGGTGGTGCGTCTCTTTGTGCAGGCTATCTTCAGGATATCAAGAGAGGAACCCAAAACCTGTCTTGAGAGTGGGGGAGTAACAGCTGTAAGTTGTATGATCCACAGCCCTGACCTTTTCTTGAATTTTGTCCTTGTATCCCTGTTTGGAGCCATCTTGTAGCTGTAGAATAGTAGTCACAATCCCTGACCTTCATCCCTCAATGCTATTGATCTGGCTGGAAGCGATCTTGATTGAGCTTTTGTCAAGCTGCCATGCGAACACTGTGATCCAAAGCCTCTGTGTGATATGCTCTTCAGAATTGTTCAAATCGTAAAATGATTTTAAAGAAGTGTGTTCCTTGAAATCTATTTGGGCCACTAGTGTAGGCACATACGTGTCCTCAGTCCGCTCTGGTGTGGTCAGTCTGGACAGGCCTTTCGGCCCTGCCAGGGGTTGCCTTGTGTGAATGCATGATGGTGGCACTATGTGCATGAACATTATGATATGCGAAAGAAAATGCCCGTAAAGCCCAACTATGCTGCCGTGCAGTTGGGTTGTGTGGTTTCTTCTGTGTCACATGGACTGATTGGCTAATCCAGCTTGACTGGCTAAGTGGCATAATTGGTTTCAACGTGTGCAAGGTTCTTTTGCACATGGAATTTTTGGACGCTGGCATGCAGCGCATAGCTGTTGAGGCTGCTGCAAACATGTGTAGAGCTGTCAACCCAGACACATTTGAGATGGTTCAGGGCCAGCTGGAGAAACTTGTGACGCTGTTGAAGTATGAGGTGCGCTCTCCACAGTGTGCATATCTGTGGCTTGTCCTGACCCCCATTCCCATCATCACCTTTATTTTGCTGCTTTTCGCATTCTGGGTACAGGCAAGGTATGTTGCCCTTGGAAGGGCCCAGGTGCCTGTGTTGCACCTGTGCTGAACCTTGCAGCCTGATGGATACAGTTCTCCTGCTGCTGCAGCACTGAGCAGTGCACAATCATCTAGCAGCAAGGCCTGGGTTCAAGTTGTGGTAGAATCTGCCAGTGTTGCTTTCCACCTGCATTGGTTTTTTTGTGTGTTGTTGCATCTCAGCTTTCCTGTTTGCTAGTGTAGAAGTGGTGCTGTTGCTGTTGCTGTGGTTTCTCTTAACTTGCTGACGGTGTAGAAATGACCAGTTGCAAAGGTAATTGCCATTCCTGATTTTGTTTTGGGTGGTGATCCTGCATGCAGCGTTGATGTGGTCCCTGTTGGTATGCAACACAAAATGCAAGGGCCGTACTGATGCCATTGCTATAGGAAAGCAACTGATTTTTGCTGTGTTCTTTCAGGATGCACATATTGTGGAAAGGTCTTGCACAGCACTGGTTCGCATCTGTGAGGCCATTACTCAAAGAAGGGATCTGATTGGTGTGCTGGTGGGATGTGGTGTCATTGGGCCAGCGGTTGAGATGGTAAGGTGCCCTTGTCCTGAGAACTACTTAGCGACACTGCTGCGCAAAGTACGATGCGTTTGTCTTTGTAACACACAATGTCCTTGCAGAGTGTCTCCTGCACACATGCGGCAACAAGTGACAGTTGGGTGGCAGTTTGGATATGAATCAGCTGCATTGGAGGCCTAGGAACAGGGACGGATTGAGTAAGTCTGCCAGATGTTGGTATTTGCCTCTGTGCTGTCCTCCTGTAGGCTGTGCAGGGCATAATGAATCGCATTATTCAATGTTGGCCTGTGAGCTGCCCCCCACAAAGTGTTCTGTTGTGTGAGCATGCGTTTTTTGGCTGTGATGCAGATCGCGGTGGCAGAAACAGGGGGCATGGTTGCCCCGCTGTCCCCCACGACCTACTTTGGCCTCATTCGCTTGCTGGCCATATGTGCAGCGAGGTCCCACATGGTTGCAGAGACGCTGCTGTCCTCCGGAATCTCTGACACCATGCTTGCCCTGGTCCGGAGTTCTGGCCTGATTCACACAGGCGAGGGTGGAGGCCTTGTGCGCACAAACGAGCACCTGTCCGACGTCTTGATGCTTGCTGACAGTGTCCTGCCAGCGACTGACGGCGCGAATGGGGATGAGGATGGCCAGGAAGACGCAGCTCAGCACAATGCGTTCGTGGCCGCAAATGCCAGTCTGGTCAACAAGTTTGGCCAGGACATGCTCCCCCTGCTCATGCAGGTCTCCAACACGGTGCACCTGCGGCCCAGGGTGCTGTCCATAATGGTCAAGGTGGCATTCCACGTGGATGTTGCTGTGCTGGAGGAGCTGGCCCAGGGGCTAGCAGTCTCAGGGTTGGTGGCCTCTCTGCTTGTGTCGTCGAATGACCACATAGTGGGGCAGGTCGTGGGGCTTGTTGAGTTGCTGATGGAGAAGCTCCCAGGAGTATTTGCCACACAGTTCATGAAGGAGGGCGTCGTGCACGCCATGAACAAACTGGCGCTGAGCTTGGACAAGGACACAGAGTTGGCCCCGGGGGCCCCTTCGCCGTCCACCAGTGAACCGGCTCAGTCGGTGTCCACCCTGCGACGGGAGTCTGTGGATCGTGCAAGGGCGTTCCTGTCCACACATTTTGGGGATGTCTGCAGCGGCACCGAGCCAGAGGAACTGGGTCACCTGCGATGCCTCAGCGCCCGCCTTACAGAACCGGGGGTGCTGCGTGAGCTGCTCGTGACCCTGAAGGCAGATAATGGTTCGCGGGTGTCTGTGTACGAGTTCCTGAACAGTGGGATGATCGGTGCGCTGAATGCATTCCTGCGGGTTGATGGGAACAAGGGTTTTCGGAGGGACGTTGCTGAGGGCATGCTTGTGAATGTAAAGAGCCTGGTGGATGCCAGCCTGGGGCCTGAAGCAGGGGATCAGCCACTACTGGTGTGGCTGGTGCGCAAGCTGAGAGACGCCCTGATGGCCATTGAGGAGTTTCCTGTGAGGGCAATGATCGCACGGAGGGTGCGTGTTCACAATCCTCTCAGAACAGGTGTGCTGGAGTGCTGTCTTGGCACTGCTAGAGATTTGGAGCTTGTGTTATTGTCGAGTCGCTCTTAGTAATTTGGCAGCTGGGTTTAATGTGCACCAACCACTGAAGAGGCTACGATTTCAGCTAAGCAACGAGTACAGCACTGACTGTAAGCCACGATTCTGCAACACTGGAACCTGGTCGACGCGTACTCCTGTGACCTTGCCAAGATGCAGTTAGCCGGTAGAGACGCTGACTGCTTCAAGGCCAAAGGGGGCGGCAGCTGTTGCATTTTCAAAGCAGCAGAATGTTGCATGTTCTTTGAATCGCGTCCTCTGTCCAGGAGAGTGAGAATCCGCAGTCTATTGTCATCGTTTGGCACGGCCAGCGGGTCAGTTGGCAGTGCGGGCAAGTTGCTGGACTAGTGGCATAGCTATACTTTCTGCTGCTTGCTGTGGGTGGGGGGAGACTGAGTGCAGTCTCCACATCAGGGTGCTTTGGATTGCACATTTCCATTCAGTCATCAACCAATCAATCCATCAATCAAGAGTCCGATCACTGACAAATCAATGTCAAAGGTCATGGGGCTGGTGTGGTGTAAACATACAAAAGGGTATGCCTGGGACAGTTTGTTCAGTTTCTTCTTTGTTCAGCGATTTTCAACTGAAAGTGCCATCATCCGCTGCTTGCCCTGCAGGCGAGGCTGACCAGAGCCACAGGCTGTGCTCCATTGGTGTGCCATTGAAACTGAAACTCGTGCGTCATGAGGATGAGACTGCACTGAAGGAGTTCAACAAGGACACCAAGCAGAGCAGTGAGCTTACTGTGGAGCCCATGGTGACGATGCAGGCTTTGGAGGACTGGCTGCTTCAGAGGGTTACCCCCAGCAGCGATGCGGATGGCGATGCTGGACCCAGCTCTGCAGCTACCAAAGGCAGGGTGAGTTTCCCATCTTTTAAAGCGTAGTGTTGTACATCGCGTTGAAGAGGCTGCAGGGTGAGGCGTCTGAACTGGCTTGTGCCACAATCGCGGATTCTGCCTGCGGTTTGTGTCTCACAGGGTGTGTTGTTGCCAAAAGCACCGGCTGGTGACCTTGGGACAAGCTCATAACATACATTGAAGACATTCGTCACTGGCTGAAGTGGTGATTCCGCTTGTGGTGATTGGACAGTTGCTGCTGTTTCTTAGGGTTGAGATAGATGGACCTCCTGCAACAGGGGCAGCATTTGGGGAGCAGTTGTGTGCCAACCACGCCCAAGGGGTGTGGCCTTTTGAACTGAGATTCCTTGCATTATATGTGGAACAGCGCAATTTCAAGCCATGTGTTGAATGCTGGGCACATCAGTGTATCAAACAGAGTGGCTGTATGTCTTGTTTGTCCCCTTAATTCGGTAAGGAAGAATGCTATTGGTACGATTCTGAGCGTCAATTTGCATCCGAAACAGCCACAGCTGAACTTCAGGTTGTGGCGCAAGCGAAAGGTTTTTGAGCTTGTTGTTGTCCTCGTTAATTTGTGAGTGCAGGGTGCCGGCGGGGAGGATCAGCAGGCCGAGGAGGCAGGAACGTCATCCTCAAGGCCCGGGAGAGCTGGTGGTGAGGTTCACAGCGAAGCTCGCTTTCATCCCTGCCAGTTGTATTTGCCTTATAGTGCTGCAGCACTGCCAGTCCAACCTCAGCCTAAGGCAGTGCAGGGCATTATGGAGCGTGGCGTGGTGACAGGTTGTGCACAATGCCTACAGTCGTGTCCGATGATGACAAATGTGAATGAGAGGGCACGATAGGCCAGGCAGGGCCTGCAGCACCCAAACCAATAGCATTGTCTTGTCTTGTTATGGGTTGAAAAGGTGGATAGGTTCCCATACCAAACCTGGGGAGGGATGGTGCTTGACTAGGTTTCTACATTGTCGTATATTACCCTTCCAGTCCACTGACCACAGCCCTTGTATTTAGCGGTCCAGCCAAAAACGGGTGTGCAGCTGCAGGTCCGCCTGGTAGCCAATGATAAGTGTGTTATGAGATCTGAGGACACATGGACTGTTTGCATTGATGCAGTTTCCTAGAACCACAGCTTGCCATTGCCGATGGGCTGATGCCTTTGTTTGTATTGCTTGCACTTTGGACCTGCTGCAAGCATATCTGTTTGTTTCCTGCACATGCACATATTGTGTACTGTCAATTTGCAGTTTCAGTTGTGACTTGTGCATAGCAGCGACTGGTGCATGCGCTGAGGCTTCCAGCTGTCTGGGCTATTAGGTTCATTCAGGGGTTTGCGCAGTTGTGCACCTTGTCAAAAGGAGTTCTGCAGGTGTTCTGGCCTGAGGTTATTTCCGGCTGTCAAATTTGCTGTCAACCGCAGTGTCAGATACAATGGACTAGTTTCCAATGTTATGACTGTTTGCCTTGTTGGATAGTGAATTTGCTTGTGAGCACCCCAATTGCGATGCAGCTAGCATGCCTGGGCAGTTCTGAGGTCTCTGTTGTTGCACTTTTTGGTAGAGAGTGCTCCAGCCAATGGTCGTGGAGCGCCCAATGAGCCTAATCGTGTGATGACGAGGGCCCAGGCTGCCAAGCAGCTTGAGAATGCCAGCTCGGAGGGCAAAGGGATTGAGGCGATGTCCGAGGACGATCAGGACATGGCAGAGGAGGGTGTGGATGTTGGGGAAGTGGTTGTGGGGGATGACAACATGGACGAGGACAGTGAGCCCATCCAGGAGGGCAGCATCAGGGGAGAGGATGAAGATGAGCTGGAGTCAGTGTCGGAGGATGAACTGTCAGAGGATGGGTGAGTCCTACTTGGCACCCAGGTGTAGACTTTTGACTGAAAGCAAAGTCTCCAGGTGCAAGTGTGTGATCGGAAATCCCAAATCCAGAGTAGCAATAAGCCTATGGTTTTGCTGAAACGGACTGCAGCATTTGTGCAGTGTTGGCTACCACTCAATTTGACAGCTGTCTATGTTTCTGGCTCAATACAATTGTGTTTATGGCATGCCCATGCACCAGCTTTGGCTGCGTTACACCAACTTCTGTTTTCTTCCAGGCAGCTGGCAAGGTGGTCCAGGCAGCTGTCTGTGAGTGTGCACGGGATGTGTGTGTGTGCAAAACTGCTTCTGTCTAGCCAAAGGATTGCATTGAGAAAGTGGTGAAGCCCCAATGTGCTTGCAAGCCACTTGGATGGCGACCAGCATCAGGGCAATGCAGATCGCTTGCAGCTTGCAGGCAATTTTGCTGCATGGAGCTGTGCAGTGGGACAGTCCTAAGGATCTGCAACGATTGAACACTGTGGGCTTGTTTTCTTTCTTGCTGTGTTGACCTGTGGGTGAATGTCAAGTCAATTCCATCCACAGTGACCTCTGTCCTTATGTGCAGGGAACCTTTCCTTGGGGAGCTGCATGGACTGATGTCGTACGCCCAAGCAGCACATGGGAACAGGGACACACAGCCAAGGATCGTTTTCCAGCTTGGGGATGTTGCCTTGCTGCCGCAGACCACAGTGTACCAAGCCATCAGAGAGGTGAGCCAGTGGATGAAATGCGTGTTGGCATAAGGAATTGGCTGGTCCCTGAAATCGCTTGTCACGTTGGCCTGTTGTGTACATGGCGCACTTGCAGAATTGTACATGGAGACTCATTGACAGTACTGTTCCTGTTGACGATATTGCATGGTCAGTCGACACACGTGTGTTGCAATGTTTCTCATGCGTAAAGTAGTTCATGAATGCTGTAATGTGTAGACAAGCTGCACGCTATAAATATGCTACTGCAGACTTTAATGAAGAAGTACAGTGTTCAACAGTACACTTTGGAACACGGTGAAGGTGTATGTGGAAACTTGTGCTGTGCAGACGATTGCTCAACAAGAAAAGGGACACGGAACCAGAAACCTCTGTCTCAACACTGTGGATGCGTAACAGAAATGCACCATAAGCAGTGAAACTAACCAACAAGAGAACTTTTATCCAGCCAATGTTGCGTGATCGTAGCTTAAACCACCACAGCAAAAATCTGCATGATAGCTTGCGAAACCACAACATCGAATTGTGGCAAGAAAATTTGCTTGCCTGGCTGGACCATAGCACAGCAGTGACCTGGAAAGAAAGGGCAGGTAGATACAGCAGAGCCGTGCTTTATCCTGGCAGGCTGGCAGGACAAGGCACCAATTAGGATGGTGTGACTGAGGGTATATTTTTGTCAGGTGTTTGGCAGGGTGCTCGAAGGAGTCACATACCACAGTCCATTCATGGCGTGCTTTGTAGTTCTTACTTCATGGTAGAGAAAGCCTTGTGACAAGATGTCCCCAAAGTGAGGGGATGGAAATCGCCTAGGTGCATATGATCATCCTTCTCTCCATACCAGTATTGAGAAGTGTTCTGACTCATGTGTATTCTCAGGCATCGTGTCAACATTGAGAAGGTGCTGCCTCATGCTGTTGCATTCAATGTATCAACAATGAAGAGGGTTCTGTAAGCACGTCATGCAGATAACCCCTAGAAACATGTCCACAACCTCCTATCTCATACCTTGAATGGGGCTAGTAGTGTCCACATGACCAAGTTGAGAGGGTGTGTGTGCTGTGCAGTACCTCGCGAAGCAGCACGGCCTTGAGGAGGATGTGGAGGGAGACCCAGAGAAGGTTGCCACCTGGCAGCGGTGCTTTGAGGAGACATTCAGCTTCAAATACAGGACAGCCCCCAAGGTCGATACTTCAAAGGAGAGGAGGGTGGCCAGAAAGAGGCATGCTTGCAGGTGAGGGAACAGGGGCAGTGAGAAAACCTCCAGCAGGATGGGGTGGACACCTGAAAATTTGACATCGAGATTTTGTAATGTTTATGTTGTTGTATTGATGATGATGATTGTGCTGATTTCATTAATATGTTCGATAATTTGATGCCAATGCAGTGCTGGAATCGAATCCAAAGAAGGAAAGGATATGTTGGAGGCACAGCTGTGCCTTTTTGTGGACCTGCTTTTTCTGGCTTCCTGGGCATTGATGTTACTCTTGTGGTGAATTGTATGGTGACTGGTATTGTGTCTTCATCAAGGTCTAGCAAGTCTTCAGTGTTTCTGTAATCTATGGTCAGCAATGTGAAGGCACAGCAATGGAGCAAGAAGTAGACCAACGGAACTGCGAAACAGTATTCTATTTGCAGTTGTTTTGTTTATTCGATTCGCAGTTCAGTTAATGGGCGGTGAGGAAGGCATCCTGAAGGGAATTAGGGAAGGACACGCCTGTACAAAGGGCCTTGAAGTGGGGTGCTAAGGTGCAATGTGATTGTGATTTGCCTTCATAAGCATTTGCTAGGCATGCTGTTTGACTGCCATCCGTTTCTCGTTGACTGGTGGAGCGAGTGGCGTCCACGGGCCATTAGTCATCACAGCATATTAGTGGAACACTCTTCTGTCCTTTTGCAACCAGAACCATGATACTTCTCACTGGTTTGCAATCTTTGCAGGGACTAGACTCTGGCCCTGCAGAGGGGCAGGCACATCTGGTCATTGTTGATATCTGGGACTATGGCTGGCTGGTGCAAAGCGTGTTTTCTGTTGCAAAACCACCTTCACTAAGGGTATAACACGTGCTGTTGCAGTACAGCAGAGGAGTCCCTGCCTGGAGCCTCTCTTGATGTAACACTTTGCGTGACTTGGACATGTCCACTGTATGATTGAACATATTGTCCTGACTCTGCTGTTGTGCTTTATTGTTTGCCAGACAACAACCACTGCCTGTGGCTGTGCTTGGTCGGCTGGCACTGCCTGAGGACCTCAATGTGAGCGCTGAAGTCTGGGATGTGCTGGAGCTCATGTACAAGTTGGACACCATAAACCAGCTAGCGCCAAGGTGGCTTCCAAAAGTGAGTGCTCTGCTGCCTTGCCAACTGCATAGTCCATCTGCGGTCTTGCTCCCTAGGTTGGTGCACGTGCACTCATGCATTCGTGTGTCTGTCCTGTTGCCTTGTTTGTTCTTGCGCAGTCCTTCCCCTGCTGATATGACCTCTTGCATCGCCTTCCAGCTTGGGAGAGTCACAAAATCTCTCGTGTCCTAGCAGTGGGGTGCTAACTTGCAGCGTGTTTTCTCACTGGGTAACAGGCACTGCCCATGGCAAGGTGCCTGAACAAGAATTGCTGCAAGTATATTGAACCAAGCTCCACGGTGCTTGCAGTGAAGGATGGTCTGTCTGTTTTCAGTCCTTGGCACACGTGTTTCTTGTTTCCCACCCTGAAAGCTGACTGCCTGGATACTGGGCATCTTAGCAACCGATTTTGTCACCAAGTCTTGTTGAAGCCCTCTTGTGCACAGCTGTTTGCTGCATCTTGATCTTCAGCCCGTTGTATCCTGTTGTTGGCCTGTGTTGGTGTATTTGGATGGGTGTGTGACCACAAGCGTTTCGCACCATTTTGGACTGTCTGTACCATGCTACACTAACATGTTGGGCTGCCTGTCATCTGTTGAATAGTGAACAGTTTGCAGCGTGTTTCTTATCTCTTCTCACTCTCTTTCTTCCCGAGCTCTGCCCGTGTATGACCTGTTTCTCGATGTAACAAAGCTTATCTTTCTTCTTTTGCTCTTGCTCTGGGACACTCCCTCGGCATTGTCAGTGTGTAATTATGCCGGGTTTGATTGGGAGCTGATGGCTGCCTAAATCTTCTTCTCGCTGTGTCGTGATCAACTGATGGTTGTCTAACTGGTTGGTGCATGTGTGCAGGGCACCACTGGCTGCCACAAGGTTTCCAGGAGGGAGTTCATCTGCACCAAGGTGGCCTCCAAGCTCACTCAGCACTTTAAGGACCCTCTGACAGTTTGTGCCAGGACCATGCCCCAGTGGACTCACCAGCTGGCGACTTCATGCAAATTCCTGTTCCCATTCGACTACCGCAGGAAATACTTCTACTGCACGCGTGTGGGTCTGCCCCACATCTTGAAGTTCTTGCTGGAAGAGCGGAAGGCTGCTTCTGGCAGCCCAAGCTTGACCATGAACGTGATTCGGGATGACCAGGGCCGACTTTCAAGGCTGGCACAGCTCAAGGTGACCAAGGTGAGGACAAGAAGCATGCAAGTGCAGACAGGGTGGCATGTGCTTGCAGTAGCTTTGCACCAGCAAGCAATGAACGGGGTGTCCTGAAGGCAGCATCGTTGGCACAGTAGAATGTTTTGCACTGCTGTCTGTTGCAAAGGTGGGATGTTCAGCTGAAGGGGTAGTGGCTGTTGTGGTGTTGCATCTTCAACCTGTGGCCACACTGTGATATTTGCTGAATTGTAGTGACTGGTGTACAGTCAGGAGGCATCTTGACTGAATGTGTATCCCCTGCCTCTCAAAATCCTTTCGCCACACCTGGCCATGGCAATGGCGCTGTTGTTTTGTGCCGCTTGCATTGTTGCTCATACAAAATAGATGCAAAGTGAGGCAGCAAATGTGCTTGATTTGCCATCATGGTTCATGATGGAGAGAAGCATCACAGCAATTCTTAATCAGGGAGGGATTGCCAGTGGGATGGCGTTTGTCATTCTGTTGAAGCTCCAATCTCCAGTTGTTGGGGCTGTTGATCTTAGAGCGTCGTTGGTGGTACGGTAAATGTAAATTCTGTGGATTGCTCAGCAAGTGAGGGTCGCCAGGCGAAACTTGCTTCCAGGGGCCATGAAGATAATGGAAATATATGCTAAGATGCAAGGCCACGAGCTTGAAGTCCAGTTCCTTGGTGAGGAGGGAACTGGGACAGGGCCCACACTGGAGTTTTACACACTGCTGTCCCATGAGCTCCAGAGACGTAAGCTGAAGATGTGGCGAACAGAGGACATTTCGATGCACAAGAAGTCGACCAGAGAAGAAGAGGATGAAGAGGACAAGAAGACGAAGGGGCATGGCCTGGACGTCCAGGAGCATGTGTATGCCCCACAGGGGCTCTTCCCCAAGCCCATTCCCCAGAGCAAGGTCACGAAGAAGGTACTGAGCTGTCAGGAAGGGTGAATGATCTATGATGTTTCCTGTGGTCTTGAATGGGAAAGGCAGGAGGCTGTCTGTGCAGGTTCTTGTGCTGCTCATTTATTGGCAGGAACAAACCTTTGCAAGGGTGTACTTCTGATATTGTAGTATATGGGTTGGCACAAATATTCTTGCTGTACGACAGTTGTAAAGGTGGGCAACACTGGTGTTGGTGGTGTCTTGATTTTAGTCCTTTCAGTGTTATGTTGTATGGTATTTGGTTTGGTGGCATAGCACATTTGCAAGCTGTGCTACTGGCTTTCCTCTTGGACATCAATCAGCAATTCCTTTTTGCATCGGCTTTCGCAAAGGATGTGTTGTGCGCACTACACAAATGAGAACTAAGCAGCTTGGATGAACTGCTGCTCTGTGCACGGCAGGTGCATACTTTAGAAGCAACTGAAGCATGGCTGTAAACTTGCTCCCTTAGGGAAGTTGGTCATGAGGACGTCTACTTCCTGAATTTTAACATCCGTGTCTTGCATTCTCAGATTCTCAACCACTTCCGGCTGTTGGGACGAGTCATGGCGCGGGCCCTACTTGACCAGCGACTCCTGGACATGGACATCAATCCCCTGTTCTTTAAGGTAGCTCAGGGTGAGGCTGTTGACCTGTACGACATCAAGGAGATCGACAGTGCCCTTGGTGCCACTCTGGAAAAGCTTCAGGCCGAATTGGAGTCCTGGAAGGCTGGTGGCCGGCGGGGACCCATCGCTGTGGATGGCACTGCCCTGGACGACCTGTGTTTGACCTTCACTCTTCCAGGTGGGGCGCTGCCCAGTCCATGTTCAGTTCAGGAATGTGCTCATGAGTTTCAGAATGCAGCTGCAGCATTGTTTCTCAGCCCTGAGATCATTGATTGATTCACGGAGTACATGCAATAGCCCGAATTGCATAATTATTGGAAATGAGGAGTACTTTGTTACCAATGCACAGCTCCTCAGTGTGGACAACAGTTCGATTGTCAGCAATTTTAACCTTTTGAACACTGTCTTTTTAACCGATTTGCCTATGCGAGCTCTGGTTTTGCTGCTCTTGTACTGCACGCATCTTTGGGACACATATCTTGCTGTGGGCTGTGACCTGCTCTGGCTTTCCAACTTGATTCTTCCCTCATGTCCTTGGAGACACGATTGATAAAAGCAGCATGCTTAGTGTTACCACTGAAAGTCCCTTGCTCCGAGCAGAAACGGAAACAAGCAATTCGGTATTTCAAGGTTAAGGTCGTGGATTTGCAAACCACCAGGCCATTGGAAGCGCCTTTCAGTGGGGCTTGCACTGATTGGGTGCTGTTTGTATTGGCCGCTGGTCGAGTGGGCCACTCACTGTTGGGCACGCTCGTCAGTGCTCACACTGGCATAGAGTGAGAACAACCTGCCCTTTGCAGCCACCCTGGCAGCTGCTTTTCTTCAGTGACCTCACCTTGGGCGATTCCCCTGCTTGCTGTAAGGCAACGTGGACTACGAGCTCCGAGAGAAGGGAGGGCAGTCGATCGTGCGAACGAGCACACTGGAGCAGTACATTGAAGCGGTCGTGAGGGCCACGCTCCATGATGGCATCGAGCTCCAGGTGCAGGCATTCAGGGAAGGATTCGAGGAGGTGTTGCCACTGGATGTTTTGGATTGCTTCTACGAGGAGGAGATGGATGTGCTGCTGCGTGGCATCCAAGAACCGTGGACGGTCAAGAAGTTAGCAGACTGCGTGAAATGCAACCATGGGTACACAACCCAGTGCCAGCCTGTGCAGTGGTTCCTGGAGGTTGTGTCCGAGCTCCAGGGAATGGACCAGCGGCGGTTTGTGCAGTTTGTGACAGGTAGGATGACTGTGATGGTGGGGACAAAGCCACCTGAATCCTTCCTGCAAGTGTTGTGTGCTGTTGCACTGTGGTGTCAGGGGAGGCGCCAATATGTGTACTGCAAGGCTGAGACTGTGAGCAACCATGCACGCAAACTCTGTGTCTAGACGTTCTGCAAGGCGTTGATGGTGTCTATTTGGCCACACGTGAATGTCCTGTGTACGAATGAAGCAACTGGTATGCATGATGTTTGGCGTTGTCCTTGATTGTCTGTTGGGCCAATTGCACCACAAAACTGGGCAGGCTGCCTTCGTGGACATGTCTGCGTGACTCAAACACCAGCCCCAGATCATGTTGCTTTTGCCTCCGCCAGCAAATTTACCACAACGAGTTTGGCAACGCACAGCAGGTTCCTCTCTCGAGCCCTGGCCTGCAGTGCGTGCCGTATTGTCCGCATCTTGCATGAATTTTGGACGGTATGCCAGTGTCCAGCTCAAACGGACTTGAACGGACAACAAGGCACAGCTGAAGTTTCAGCTCGTGGATCGACGATTTTAATTGACTGACTGCTTGCCTCACACACTCAGATGTTGACCGATCGATTGGATGGCATCTGATGCTGATAGCTTGTCCACATTCGGTATGCCAGGTTCGCCGCGATTGCCACCGGGAGGGTTGGCCAGTCTGCACCCACCATTGACGGTCGTAAGGAAGACTCAGTCGGCCCCCAGCACCGAAGGCAGCTCGGGGGGCGCCGCGTCCCTGGACGAGTCGCAAAACCTCACCCTGCCGTCTGTGGCAACCTGCCAAAATTACTTCAAGCTGCCAGCGTACACCACCAAAGACATAATGCGCCGCCAGCTGCTGTTTGCCATCACGGAGGGCCAGAATTCTTTCGACCTGACCTGACGCGGTGGGGATGGCGGCGCGGCAAGTCGGGAACGATTGGAGCGGCCGCTCGGTTGTCAATGTTTGTGAGTGCCCTCTTGGTTGCGAGTCCACGTGGGAAGGAGCATAACATGCCGATGCAAGGGATGAACAGGTTGGCGCTTTCGTAAATGAAGGATGGCAGACGCAGTTTTGCGCTGCAGCTGAACTTGTGGAGCTTGATCTGTGGATAGGTTTCTGGTGGGCATTCGGATAAGGGCGCTGGTTGGGTTTGGGCGCCCCGCCATTTTTCATTGGACGATCTGGGACCAGCTTGGCCTTTGCGGCTGCTGGTTTTGTGTGCGTGGTGACCAATTTGATGGGGTGGGGTGGGGAGATTTCATGAGACTGAAATTGATTTGGTTGGGAGACTGGGGTGTACAGTAACTACCATCGGCCCATCGGCTCTGCGCCTTGGCATCACATGTTGTCGGCCGGCCTTCGTTCCCGTGTACATCCTTTGGCACACGACGTAGACAGGTTGAACTCGGAGCAGTGCCGTGAAGCATCGCCCGCCTCTCGAAAAGGCCAGCACTGAAGCTCGCGAGTTGAAGCCAGAAATGTGCAACAGAACCAGCCTAACACAGCAGGACTGACCTGGCCCAAAGCAAGCCCTCCTGCCCAAGTCTGTGGACAGGCCAGAGTCGCCCCCGGGTCTAGAAGAACTGAAGGGGGGCCACACCTAGTTCGACTTCCATGGCAACATTGGTGCACGAGGTGCTCAAAGGCACTCACCATACCTGGTCCGACAAGCAGCCAAGACTCAGCTTGTCTTGCAACGGAACCAAGAGGAGCCACGAACAAGACTCTGGCTCTCTTCAAACACTAGAGTACGCGTCTTTTTTCGCCCATCAGAATTCACACTCAGAGTGGCGTGCTGAACTCACAATTCATGCACGCACAAAATGCTACCCCACAGCACCAATCCACAGCACCAACTCACAACACCAAAATTAGCAACATTGAAGCTGATCGTTGGGCAAATGTCCTCCCCCCATCTCAAGCACGTCGACGAGTGCACCAGTCAGCTAGCACATGACCGCGTGATCGCTGTTGGTTTTCTTGGTCTCAGAACTTCATCCCTGAATGCTCCTAATTCTGTACTCACTTCTCTCATCGAGGTTCACAGCAAATCAGCTTTTGGCCACCGACCTACAGCTATGTAAACCGGACAGTTGCAACTGAAACATCGAAAAAAAGTGGCAGCCATTCAATGGTATATGTTGATGGCATCCCTAAAACAGAATCTATGATGCCACCGTTTTGTTTCAACAATCAGATTTTAAAACAGTAATTGACGGAGTCCGCCTAGTGGCCAATTACCGGTAATCTGAAACGTTGCACCAAACTACATCAAACAACAACAAACTACAATAAACCATCGTTTCCAGCCCCCCAAAACACGGCGCCAACACACCTAGAACTGAGCGCCCAAAGTCCAACGCATGCAGGGGTGAAAGCTGCACCTACACGCTGAAAACATTGCTCGAATTTACGACAGTGTGGTTCTACAGTACTGCAGTACTTTGCGCCAGGAGCTGCCAAGAAAGTGCCGCGGTGCGGCGCTCGTAAGCAGCAGTGTTGGAGCGCCTGTTGCCTTCTTCGACCAAGCCCCCCGCCCCAATGAATCAGCCGGACCGGATAGACAAGTTTGTGGTGCCTGAGGGCGTCAAGAAGTGAGTGGTGGCTCCCAGGATCCCTTTACGCTCGACTGCCCCCCCCGCCCCCCGCACGCCGAGCCAAGTGTCTGATTGAAGTTTGATGCATCTGTCCGCAGGGTGTCTTACGAGCCGGACACGAAGATAGCGAACGCCGGGACGTTCACGATTCAGAGGGAGGACCACACAATCGGCAACCTCATAAGAATGTGGGCAGGAAATGGATTCAGGGATTGTGGATCACGGCAGTGAGAATGGACTCAAGGGTGTGTTCAATCCTCCGCGGGGGAGTGCGGTGCACGCTGTGCCCCCCGGCTGGAGCGCCTGCCGCGTCTGCGGCCGTTGACATGGGGTTTGCTTCAGGAAACTTCATGAGGACTCCCGGGTTCTGTTCGCCGGCTATAAGATCGTCCATCCGCTGGAGCACAAAGTGCTGGTCAAGGTGAGGGCCGAGCTTTCCACACGCAGGGCCTCACGCGCGGCGGCGATTGGGCAGCGCGGCACGCTCATTTGGTCAAGCAAACGCCTCGTTTCTTCATGGTTTCTCGTTGCTCTTGCTCTGCAATATTCTGCTGCTTGTTCTCTGCACTCCTGGGAGTTTGCAGGAAACTGGTGGCTTCCTGCAGCTCGTTTCTTTCCAGTGAAAATGCCTCAGCACACAACGGGCCCCTGTTAAAAATGATGACATGTAAGCAGCTGCTGGAAGGTTGTTTTGCTTGGTCCCTCATGAACAGCTTGTCTTTGCAGCATAAAGCTCAAATGACATTTCTCTCTTAGTGGAAAGCAAGACACAGCATATGATGGACGCGGCCCTCCTGAACAGGAATCTTGTGAGAATGGGTTCCACGCTGCAGAGCATGTATGTTTCTTGTGCTGATGTGAAGTGGGGTTTGGGATGCTCTCTTGGCCAAGCTCTGGGAGGGACGTCATCGTGCCACTGCTAGAACTGATGCCAATGGATGATCTGAACTCAACAGAAATGCTTTGCCATCAGCAGTGCAAGCATTACATAATACAGAAGAAAAAGCAACAATCTCGCAGGCACAACAGGAATATTGTGCAACATGTCACCTGATCGTCAAAATGTGTTGAATTGGTAAATACTCTGAGGGTATTTTTTACCAAGGCGAAAGTTGTCTAAGCAAGGCTACTGTGGTAATTGCTTTGCTGCTGTTTGCTTGTGCAGGTTCAGACAGATGGCTCCATACCACCAAGTGAAGCATTCTCTGATGCCATTGATGACCTTGGTCGACAATTCTCGGCTCTCAGGGATAATTTTGCAGTGAGACGGCTTCCGGCACACTGACAGTGTGTGTTTTTAACAACTGTAATGTTCCATTGAGGATGGGAAAGAGCCATGGGGATTGTGCAAGGGACTTTATTTTAGACACCATTTTTCGTATATTCTGCTTGAAGCAAAAGTTCTTGTTGTGTCCTGCCCCGCCAATGGAAGTCCTGAACAGCCCATTTTGTCTGTCCCTGCACTGTGTCCTGAATCACCTGTTGGTGAGAGGCCTATGAGTTTGCTGCCATGTACACAGAATGCTGTGAACAGATCATGATGCCCTGTGCCCTGTCCTGCAGGCGGAGTTCAGCAAGTTTTTGCCCGATCAGCCTGCCTCACAACTGGGGCAGGGCCCTTTTGAGGAAATGGCTGTTGATGACGCACCAGCAGAGCAAGGTCATGCACTGTACACGTTGTCACGAGGGCATAGTGGGATGTGAACAGATTCAGGTTGAGCATGACTGTGGAAGCAAGAGCACCAGTGCAGGTTGCCTGGATGACCATACCCCCATTTCACTGTGCATTGATGGCGTACTGATGAGTTCTGGGGATGGTAGCGCGAATAGGGCACCAAGAGGCAGATCCAAGGCAGATCTTTCAGAAGGGCAAAGGGCCAGAAGCCATCATATCGCACATATACCCTGGATACAGTTAGTGCCCACTAGACAGGAATATGTCACAATAGCATTGGAGTCGATTGCTCTTTTGCTGCCATGGTACACCAGCTTGGCTAATGCGGGGCATGTCCTAATGGGGTGTGACCAGTGGAGATGGCACGGCAAGTGGTTGCATTGGGATCCTGCCTCACAAAGTTCCAGTTGGACATGTCGGGCTGAAGGATTCCCGACGGTTGAATACATGCGTTTGGCTGTGTAACAAAGGGCCATGAGTGAGGTTTTCATGTTTTGGAGTTTTGCCCAGCGTCTCAGGTGCACATTCTCAGCAAGATCCCCATGTTCTTCACCTCAAGACTTGGCACTATGTCGCAGTTCACAAACAGTTGGACGCATCCATTTCCCGACGGTTGAATACATGCTTTTGGCTGTGTAACAAAGGGCCATGAGTGAGGTTTTCATGTTTTGGAGTTTTGCCCAGCGTCTCAGGTGCGCATTGTCGGCAAGGTCCCCATGTTCTTCACCCAAGACTTGGCACTATGTCGCAGTTCACGAACAGTTGGACGCATCCATTTCCACCTGGTGTCAGATATGCAGAGCAGCGCGCGTGGCAAGAAGGGCGGAGGCGGATCAGACCCATCCACGTGAGGATGCCGGGGTGCACGAACGGCAACGGGCAGCCGCCCTGCTAGTGGTTTGTGTGCTGAGCCGCTGGTGCTGCACACTAGACCGGCTTTACGCAAAGATCTTGGAAGGAAGTGAAGGTGCTCGTCCGTGCGTCGCACCCAGCCTTGCGCACACAACCTGCCAGATCTGTTGTTGCGGCTGCGGGGCATGGCGCCTGCCGCACACAATGCGGCTATCGTGTCTCCAGCGTGTCGGGGCCGTGCCAGCAGTGCCAGAACGACGCTCACAGGAACAGGCTGCGCACGCAGTGAATTTGCGAATGAGGCAGTTACAAAAAATACCAAACCTGAACTTGGCGGCTCGCAACGCGTCGACCTGCGACTGAGGAGGCTGCAAGCGGCCGTTTAGGCCCAGGCCATGGTCGATGCGCCGGAACGAATGTCAACCTAACACAGACACCACCACGGTAGCGCCCTTCCCGGGAGGTCTGTGCGCCCAGTATGAGGCTGAAATTGATGGAATGCGTTGCCAATTATTCTGATTATTCCCTTTGGTCCGAGTGCCGTGCAAAATGTCCAAGCGGGGTCATCAGAGAATCTACCTACCCAGAAAGCGTGAGCACTCCAATCAAACCAATTCAATCCCTCCGCCACGCGGAGCGAGGTGCAGCCTAAAGGTGTGGATGTGCCGCAGGTGTGGACTCCAAACGTCGCCTAATGCAGGCCGCTGAGAGAAAACTAAACTACATTAGGTTTCGCGAGTGTCAGAGACGTTTCGAGCACCGACTCAAGCTGCGCTTCCTTCGGCGTCCCTCTCGGAGGTCAATTGTCGAGTGAGGGCGCTCACTTCGCCAAACCTCGCCGAGCAGCCCTCATTGAAGCCTCCAACACATTGATGGACCTTGAATGCGAACTTGATCGTAGCTGAGAGGACACAAAGCAAGAGTCAGGCACGCAACAGCAGCCGACGATCGTGGCAGAGGCAGTTGACAGGCCAAGCTCTGCTTCCGCAGCACCTGGACGGCCTTCCCCTGGCACAAATTGCTTCGTACAAAATAAGCAGTCAAACTCGCAGCGACATCGGACCAGCCATCCGCGGTTTGCATTGGCAAAGAAGGCAAGCCAGGGCGCCCACGAGAGCTGTGCCCAAAAAGCCATGCAACAAAACACAGGAACGCAGCTTCGAGCGAAACAGTGTGCGTCCGCACCTGTCAGGACTGCCAGCGCCTTCTCCCTCTTCTTCTTGTCCGCGAGTGACGACTTCATCGCCTCGTGTGCCTCGTCCAGCGCAACCTGCATGTACAAGTCCATCGCGTGCAGGGAGGCGTGCTTCACCTCCGTCATAAGCTTCTTGTTCCACGGGACGTCATGGTTCTTGAAGCGCGCCTCGTCGGACTCCTTGGTCCGGTTGAGGACGTCCATCCTGTCCTGCACTTTCTCCTGTGGAGTGCAACAAATACTCATGAGTGCATTGGGGTACATGCTGCAGTAGTCACGTGTCGCAATTGTAATGTACTAATACTGTAGCAGTAGTAGCAATTGACATCTGTGAGAATCACACCTGTGCGCATCAGGGATGGGTACCCGGGCTGAAAAGACCGGACCTGGACACCTGGAGTTTCCAGAACTTGGGTACAGTAGGGGTCCCTATATAGCGCCCCCCTGTGACATGGCCAAAATAGGGGCGCTATTGGGGGCCGGGGGCGCTATTGTGTTGAGGGGGGTACCCTAAGCAGCCGGTGTAAAGGGTACCCTGGCCGCCAGTGTAGGGAGCACTCTAGCTGCCAGTGTAGGGGGTACCCTAGCTGCCGGCGTAGGGGGTATCCTGGCTGCCGGTATAGGGGGTACACTGGCCGCCGGTGTAGGGGTTATGCTGCTCCCAGCCTACCGCAGCCTACCGGACCCATACTGGCTTTTGGTGCCAGCGACTTGGTCGCAGCACCGAAGTCGCGGGCGCTAGGGCCTGTCGCAGTGAAAATAAAGTACTACAGGAACGGTGACAACAGTTCAGAGGTCAATAAACCTAGACAGGCCGCTCGGCAGGGGTCGCTAAACCGTCCTCCTCTGTACTAGTTTGAGGTCCCACTGCGCAACAAAGCTGCACAAAATACTACAGAAATGGTGAAAGGCCAAAAAAGGGGGCTCTATTGGGGGCGCCATTGGGGGGCGCTATTGGGGGAGTGCTATGTAGGGAACCCTCCTGTGCCTCCCAATATAGCCTCGTTGCTCCCGGGCCTGAGTGTACTTAGTGCATGGTTGTAACATCTTGTACCCGGGTGTACCCGGTAAGCCGGGTACACTAGATACCCAGGCAAACACAGATAATCGGGTACCCTGGTACAACCAGTACCCGGGTCCGGGTATATACCGGGTGCGGCAACCGGTTTGCCGCGCGCTTGGCCGGCTTCTGTCTAACGGAGTCCACGACGACGACGCTGCAAACGGTGCAGAGTTTGCCGACGAAGGTGGTGGCGCCCGTCCTTTTCTGCGAACATGGTATTTCGCGGACGGACATACGGTGCGTCCGCCAAAGGGCGGGGTAGCAGGCCTCCCCGGGAGGCCGTTGGAGGCACGAGATCTGCAGCGGATCTCTGCCTATGCACGCCGAAACGCGGTGCCCACTTTGGCTCCTTGTGAGCGCCGATTGATGCCACTCGCGGGTGCCAATCAGGACACCCGCGGGCGGTATCAGTCGGTGGCCGCGAAAAGCTAAAGGGCGGGAGTGGAAAGCAACGCTCGGCCTCCCACTCCTCCAGTCCCATTGCGTGTTTTGCGCCCAAGCTCTGGGCGCTGTGCTGGTCGGAGTTGATCTTTGGCATCCGCCCTTCGTGGGCGCCGATTGATGCCACCCGCGGGTGCCAATCTAGGCACCCGCGGGGGCCACCAGTCGGTGGCCACAAGGTGCAAAATGGCGGGAGTGGGAGGGACGTTTGGCCTCCCACTCTCTCCGTTTTGTGGCATGTTCGGCGCCCTAGCCTTGGGCTCAAATATGCCGTATTTCGCAGTCCGCAGTCGCGCTCTGTGGCCGCCGATTGATGCCACTCGCGGATGCCCATCAGGGCACCCACGGGTGGCACCAATCGGCGGCCGCGAGGAGCAGCAATGCGGGAGTGGGAGCCAACGTTCGGCCTCCCACTCTCGCCGTTTTGTGGCTGACGCAGCCACACACAGTGTGGCCGGGGTGACGTTCGCGGAAACCAACGAGGTGCTAAGCAACGCACCGAGCGACCGCCGGTCAATTGCGCCCGCGGGTACCTGCCTATACCCGGGTACGTGACCCTACCCGCCTACACTATACAAGGGTTTGCTGGTACCCGGGCAGGCAGGTACAAGAAAAAAAAGTACCCGGCCCTGGCACCCTGGTATCCTGTACCGGTTACGATCCCTAGTGCGCATCTAGTGCAATGATGGCGAGACAACACGAACAGGCAGCGTATTTGCCAACTAATCACAGGATACCCACATTCATTTAGGTTCAAACTCAAAAAGGTTGTGCGGCAAAGATCCTGGACATGCACCAACATTCGGACAGAGCCTGAATCGTGCGGCAACGCGCTGGACGGGTGCATTACACCCCCCGTGTGGTGGGCCACGAATTGCAAGCACGAAAGATCGCTGCCGACCAGAAGCATCTCAAATCCCAATCCGTGATGTGGACTGTTGAACAGAACGAGCGAACACGACGAAAGACGCAACCCACCATGTACTTCTGGATTTCTTTCAGGTTGTCAGCCCGCTTCCCCTGCCCCCTCTGCCACTGCTTGAACTTGTTCCTCTTCTCGGTCAGCTCCCTGGACAGCGCCACGGCCTCGCGGAACGTGTCGAACCTCGAGGCTGGCCACTCGAATTTGCGCAGGACAGCTGTCTCGTCGGACAGCTCGTCCAACACCTTGTCCACCCCATTCACGAATTCCTCCAGGTGTTCCATGTCCCTGGCCTTGAACCTCTTCACCTCGTTGATCAGCTCCTCGATGACATCAGCGTACTTGATGATGTCGGCCTGGACCTGCGCCTGGTAGCTGCCCTTGGAGGCGATCTCTGCAAACATCTGGGACTGGTCCACAGGGCCGCTCGCGCCGCCCAGCTTCTTGTGACCCTCGCCAGGCTTCTTAGAATTTGACAACAACGCACGGCGAACCTCCTGAAACATTTCAATCACCTGCAAACACACAACATATTACCAAATGCATCTAGCCGACGTAACACAGTAAACAGTGCAACAGCTGGGTGCAAGGCAGTGGCATGCCTGGCCTTGCAAAGACAATGTCAAGTCAACAACATGGTCGCAATGGCCACAAAATCGTTGTTGTCAAGTTGGCACACTTAATACAATGTGTCACCGGCGTTGTGGCAAAAAGCAGCAATTCCCAACAAGTGCATGAAATTCCACACCTAAGGCCCCCCTATACATTAAGCACCCGATGTTCCTAATTCACCGCTCACAACATCGAGTCGCAGGCTTGCCCGTGGCCAATGTCGTCTGCAGTTGAAGGGGCAGCCATTTGCCAAGCAATGACAAATGCAATCAACGGTGGCGCTCACCTGCGGCTGACGTTTCACGCCGGTGTCCCCAGTGGTGCGCTTGCCACCAGGAGGGGGAGGGGGCACTGGCGCCTTGCCGCCCTTTTTCCCTGGGGGAGGTGGTGGTGGCGGTGGGCCTCCTGCAGAGCACCCCACAAATTCAGTGACATTCATCATCACAACTCGTATCTTCAGGCAGTACAACTGATTATGCAATCTCACAATAAGTAAAGAAAAGAAAGGGGATCAGGAAGCCAGCAGCCTTGGTGGACTCTCCAGAAGTACCAAATGAAGAAGCGAGATGATAGCGCCGGAGCAAGAGCAGAGGAATGCTTTGTTGGGCTCAGCTGTGCCTAGATGCAGTGGCCGGTGCCAACAAAGTACAGCATTACTGCTCCAAGAAGCAGCACATGTGCAATCAAAAGCAGCACCAGCAGCCTGAACAGTGGAGGCCACTGTAGCTGTCAGCGTAACATCGTTGGTGGCATGTTAATCACATGCACTGTGGTCGAAAAGTGGCCTCACCCTTGCCGCCTTTCCCGGGAGGTGGTGGTGGAGGAGGAGGGGCCGCCTTCTTCGGCTTGGGGGCAGCCGGCTCTGCCTCCTCGGGCTGAGGCACAGCAGCTTCCTTGGCAGGTTTTACATCTAGATACATGCCCACACACACAGCCCATCAGGAGCATTAGGCAACCACTTCACCCACCACAGCAACATGTCATCAAAGACTGGAATGCAACTTTATAAAGCACAGAACGCACTCTGGGCAGAACAACCGCATAGCCAGTGGTCAATTCAGACAGCATATCAATCAACATAGAGGAAAATGTCTATCTGGGTCCTCTACCCTTTGCATTCACTTCGGAATAGTGGACAATTCTGCATTGTTTGCTTCTGATTCCTTCTAGGTGGTGAACATTGCTTGGAGCTTGTACTCGTGGCTAGAAAGGCTGATGAATTTAGTGAACATACAGAATGGCTCCCAACACATTGCATGGCAACGTGACACACAATTCGTGTCAACAAATTACTGTGTGAAACAAACAAGACTTGCACACCTTGCTTTGCACCCTCCATCATGGCGGACACCAATGTGTCCATGTCCATGTTTCCAATGTCGAAAGACTGTTGAGACTCTTCACCACCATAAGGCGCATCGGTGCTTGTCATTTTCTTCTTCAGCTTCACACTTTTCAGCACACTGGCCATGCTACTTGCAGATTCACCAGGTTCATTCTTGGCAGCCTCCTCAGTCTTGCATGATCCGGCATTTTCCAAAGCTGACTGCGCCTCTGGTGCACTCCTTGGGCCAGTTTGCTGCCCCATTGAAGTGGATGTTGTAGAGTCTGACTGGCCTCCAAAAACAGTGGATGTAGAAGACGTAGATGGGGCTGACTGAAGCATCGTTGGGTTAGCAGCGCCAGAATATTGGCTACCACTTGAGTTGCCTCCCATGCCTCCCGTTGACTGGCCCCTGCTTGGGGTATCAGAATCGCCAAATGGGACCCAGTCGGCCTCAGATGCCAGGCCGAGGCTTCCGCTAGCACTTGCGCTGGCACCATGCCTGCCCATACCACTAGCCACAGGGGAGAAATTCGCCTCAAAATTGGCAAAGTTATGGAAGCCACTAGAGCTGGACGCTGAAGCGGATGCTGATGTCATCTGTGTGTCACTCTGCTGGACTGCGACAAAGCTACCCATCGCTGTGCTGGCCTGCAGAGCTGTGCTGGACATTGCCACTTGTGACAAGCCTGCCGCACTGTCACTGGAATGTGCTGCAACTGCAGGCTGCCCTGCATGCAACACGCCCGTAGAAGGGACACTGCCTTGCACATCGCCACCATCTCCGAACCGCATCCATGACCCCGCCGGCCTGGCCAGCTGCTGTTGTGGCATCCCCAGCTGCGACTGCAGGTAGCTGGTCCCAGACTGCTGCTGTTGCTGCTGTGGCGGCTGCGCCATTCCGAGGGTGCCATCAAATGACCTGATGGATGAAGGAGCACCGGTGTCCATCGAGGACAGGGATGACATGCTGGTGCTTGCCAGTGGACCCTGGCTGGGCGGGGGTGTGCACATGCCTGTGCCTCTGCTCTGTGTGACCATGGGGTCGTCCTGCCACTGTTTCACTTCGTCGACAGCCATAATGCTGCCAGAGTCCATAATGCTGCTCGAGTCCGCCCTTGACGACCGCCCGCTGGGTGGGGGGGCATATGTCGAGGGGTAGTAGGTGGGCAGCTCAGGCTCTCTGAAGGCGCCAGAGCTTGCCAAGTCAGGGAAGCTGATTCCCTGGGCCAACTGTGGTCCAAGGCGCTTCTTCAAATTCCGACCGGAAATCGTCTTTAGTTGGTTCAGCTTGTCCCATGCACCCTTCACGTTGGGTGCAGAGCCCACCCTGCCCACGTGTTGGGGACCCTCTTTCCTTTGCGAAGTCGCCGAGCTCTCCTGATCGTCTCCAAAGGTGACCCACTGTGTGGAGTCACTTGTGCTGGACGAAGTGGGTTGCAGCCCAAAGCCACTTGACTGCCGTCCCATTGATGTCAGTGTGCCATGTTCCAGCCGATCCTGCCAACGTCGGCAGAAACAATGTCTGTAGTTTCAATGGATGGAGTGTATTCGTTGATGTTGTCCAAAAATATATGGCGATGCTGCCAGCCCGCGGCAGTGCCCCAATTATCGACTGCTCAGGCATCAATGCTCCAAATGGGGCTTTGAGGGTGTGCGGCTGTAACAGAGTAGTGAATCGTGATGGAATTTGGACTCTGTATCAACAGCTTGCCAAAACCAGTTCCACACACTGTGTATTCCAGACAAATGTGAACTGGAAGACTGAAAGAGTTGCCATCCCCATACCCAGCCATTGATATCAAACTGTGTGGACTGTTACTCTGGGCTACCGTATTACATACTTGCTGCCATTACCATTATTCTCGTTCAATTTTTAAGAGCAGCTATCAGTGCCAGCATTCCCTGAGGAAAAACAGGCCTTGGCATGAATGACATGCACAGGACAGCAACAACATCTGCTACACAGCCATCCTGCAGCAGGGAGGCACTCAAGCTATTCTCATCTTCACCTTCAATTCTGCCATGACATTCCCTGGCAGTGAGTGGGCAGGCTTGATTTTGCTGGGCGGCGTCTGGGAGAGGTGTAAATCATCGAACATTTTCTTCATGATGTCCTGGAAGACAATGGCTGCCTCCTCATTCCCAAGATGTTGTTCCTTTATGAACTTTTCCACCTGCCGGAGATCGGCGATTGCGGTTTGCAGTGGGCTGATAGTCGTCTCTGTCTGCACATCATTGAATTCCACTGAGAGTCAGTTTGCAAACCCACGCAACTTGGACTATTGTGACAGCTTCAACATAGTACAGGGGTGGATAGCTCAATGTGAACATAGTCAGGAGGAGTTTAATCGACTGTTCAAATGGTCAGTCGGCGGCTTCTGATGATCACACCTCACGAGCAACTTCTTACTTGAGCAAACAACTGACTGTGGGAGTCAGCTAACGGTGAAACATGCCTCCATCCACAGTCTCAAACAGTTGGATTTGCACACATCACCACAGTGTCCTTCTGGTGCTGCACTTGGAGGCTTGTCCATCATTATTTCTGTATGGGAGATGCGTGGACCAGTTCAACACGCAAATGAAGGGGGTTGAGCAATGTAGGACAGGTACTCCTCTCTTGAGGAAGGTTTGGACCCAGACACAGCCACTGCCTTGCTGCGTTGCTTCAAACTGTGCAAATTAATACAAAACGGACAACTGCATGACCACAATTCACTATCCTCTTATTCAACTCTGGAGAATTTGTGGGTTACCACTGACTAACTTTCAGCACCGCAGAATCCAGGGGCATGATGCGTGGCATGGTTTTTTGTGTGTGTGAATCTGGGTGACCAGCCAACTTGCCAAAATTAAATGTTGGTGTTCATGACCTTGACACACATGCACTGCGTCACAATCCCCACTGTTGCTGGGGCCTGTGAGTCCACGAATCTTCTGACTTAAGAAGACTTATATCAGCTCCGGTTTGGGGGACTGTAGGGCCACTCCCCGACTCGTGGCTGATCAAAAAAGCAGGGCGAAACCCGGCTTTCAAGATGATATGCTGCCTGACAGCATGTGCGGGCCAAGCATGACCGGATTTTGGGTAGAATTGGATATTGTGTGGTACTTTTGCACCTCCTTGCAGCTGAGGGAATGAGCTCTCACCTCTCGCAGCTTTGCAGTGACCTCTTTGTGTCTTGTTGAGTATTCCATGACACTCTTTTCAAACATATCCGACTGCCCTAGGCTTTGCATTTCCGTGTCCATGCGCCTTCTACATCTCAGCAACTCTTCCTACATTCCACAATACAGACACAACCAAACATAAGGGCCTCTCCACACATGGGGGCCAATGCAGCAAACCATGCCTGCGACATCGCAGTCCATACAATACAGTTGAAAACACTTCCATAATCCAAGATGATGCAGGTCAATCCGTGAAAAGGGGAGGAGTACAGAGAACCCAAGAACGTTTGATTGTGGATAAACAACACGACAAGGATGACATTGCGTCAGTTGATGATGCTTTTTGCACAGGCATGGAGTTCAAGCAATATGAACCACAACCGGATGAGATCACATTTGCACGAACATTCTTATCAAACCCCAAACTGCCACACCTTTCTTGCCAGTGTGTCCTCTAGCTCTTGCTCAAGGTCCAACCGAAGGCTGAGGGCTTCACGAAGGAGGTTGTCACTGGAAAGCGTTGATTTCGAGGCCTATTTGGCAAAGCAGGCAGAGCTTCAAGAGCCGTAGATGCTTGACTCACACGATTATTTACATGGATTTTGCCGTCTGGGTGATGTTGCTGGAGTAGGCAGAGGCTACACCAGTACAATTACTATGTCAACCCATGGTTGATATCATTTTTGTACAATTCACGAATCGTAGGGGCTGATAAAGATTCCAAGGTCAAGACGTGCTACTGCAGCATGTTGCTGTACTTGATTGTTATATCTGAGATGCTAAACTGTACATTCTGTTAAACAACTCGTTTAATGCTGAATGTACGGATTTGCTGACAGTGGTCATGCTTGAGCCCTGCTGGCAGCAGCTGACTCTGAAACATCCTGGAACAACAAGGATAAGGGAGGCTGCAACAATTCCCTTATGCGGCAACGATGACCTGCTGGGTGAAATCCTAGGGTCTCTGCTGCTCCCACACATAAGTCAAGCCATTGGCCCAGTCCTCTTACAACCTGCTCTGCCAGCCAAACAGTTTCAAGCTATACCAATCTACGAGCCAACCAGACCAGTTTCCTGCCAAATAACAACAGATGACAACCAATTATCACGCCTGTGCCCAGCTGGATTCATCATCCACCAGGAGAATTAGAATCATAGGGGTTTGTTAGGTATCCACAGAAGCAACCCTACCTCCAGTGCTTGTGACATGCCTTCATCATCTGAATGGTATCCAGTGAAGCTGCCTGGCAACTTAATCACGTTCCCATTTTGCAACTTGATGAACCGGGGCTCGCTTTCTGCCAAGGGTGATGGCGTGGACCTTCGCTGCTGTTCATAGAACCGTTCCTCTCTCCGCTGTTCCTCAAGCTCCTCAAGTGCAGCCCCATAATAAACCATCCCTGGCCCACCGTGCCGAGCGAATTTGTCGCTCGGCTGGCCCATGTTCAGCAACATGTCCTTCATTTGCCTGTCAGGAGTGGGTGTCCGGCCCATTGTGCCATTTTGCCCCTTCCTGCCTCCTGTGATCTGTTGGAACTTTTTCCTCCCACCTGCCAGGCCGACAACAGCGGTTGGGGTGGATCGAGAGATCCTTTGCGAACGGCTGCCCTTTTGTACGCTGTGGAGAGGGCTTTATCATTCCAGAACTTGGCAGGGATTGTTGCAACACGGATAGCAATACAGAGCTCCAAACACGACTATCTATGGGAGCTGATGCATTTCTGGATAACTTCAAGCCGCCACAGTCTCAGGGAGTAGCAAAAGGTCGACTGCCGCAGAGAAACGCAGTCATTGCGTTCCCTTAGTCGTCTCAATTCGCCTGGCCGACAATGGTGTGCCTCAAGAGAGACGTCACCCAATGCAGGCCAAGCTGCCAAAACCGACGGAGCACCCGCCTCCACAGGCACCAGGCTCCGGCCCCCGCAGCTACCTTTAAGCAGGCCCTTCACGGGATTCTTGTGCCCGTGCTTTCCTCCCGGCAGGCCGCGCTCCTTCAGGCGTCCTGGCCAGCACCAAACCCCACCGTCAGCACCAGTTGGGAGCCAGGAGCGCCAACACACGCCCCCACCGGACCGCGCCAACCACCTCTGAGACCCCCGACCCCCCAGCGAGATCGCCTGAGGCGGGGTCGCGGAACAACGCCGCCAGCACAAAAACATCCCATCCATTTTCACCTCCCAACTCGATGCCCTCACGACGCGCCCCGTGGCCGCGACCCCCGCTTCCAGGGGCAAGGACGGGTGCCACACGCGAGCAGGGAGCGCTTACCATCGGTGCAGGGACCATCCCACCACAGAGCGCAAACAGCGGCCCGCTCAAAGCCCAAACCACGGTTCGACACCACTCGCGACACATACCCCTCGCACCCAGATCCCCTTCACCCCCTGGACCAATCAACGCACACCCCACCCGCGGCAGGCCCCTGCCCGCGGCCTCCAATCGCAACCAGCGGGCAGTGGCGCGAGCAACCGAGGCGCGGCGCCCCAACAACATGGCCCGCCACCAGCCTGGCCCACGTCACTCGCCCGACCCAACCCGGCAAATCTCGCGAGACATCCCCCGCGCCGCCGGCAACCTCGCCCCGAGGGCGGAGTCGCCGGCGAGGCCACAGCGCGCGATGCGCCAGCGCCGACGGGGCCGCGCGAAGGATCACACCGACTCGACACAACAATACGCTCCCGCGCTTGAGCGCAACGATGTCACGGGCCGCTGTTGCGCGCCCCTCCCCGCGCTCTGCCTCACTCAAGACTGTGTCTCCGTCTCTGCAAGGGGGAAGCGATCGCAGACGAGCCCACGGCGCACCGTCGTCGCCCATTGCGCCTCCCTGCCGGGGCCTCCAGCGGTGCGGTGGGCCGACACAGCAGCCCCACGGAGGCTGCCGCCCTTCCGCTGCTCCTGGCGACGGGAGTTGTGTCGACGGTCCGCAGCGTCGGCGGGTGGGTTTGGCGGTCCTAACCGCCCGTCCGTCGGTCGCCTCGTGCGGGCCACCTCAAGCCCGCCCGTTCGGAGCCGAGCGCACGAACGCCCTTTCTTGGAGCACGTGCGATGTTTGACTGGCGATGCCCTGGACCGACAGACTACCCACTCTTTGTACGACGGGGGAGTAAAGTACTGTCACGGGATTTGCAGTGTGTTGCTCTCAGTTCGGTTGAGATTGCAAAGGTGCTTTCCTGGTTCTCCCCGGACCCCAACATCAGTGTCTTTTATGTGATGTGGACTGAGACAGAAACCACTCTCCTCACACATGCTCGCCCCAACAAGGCACGGGAAGCAAGGCGAGAACCGGATGCATTATACTTCCTCCATCCTGTATTAAACTGCAATTATGAACCATGGGCTTGGGAAACCTACCCAATCATCTTAGAATTTTACAAAAATTTGCCACAATGTTCTCATTTGAGTCTAGTTTGTGCTACTGAACTTTTGAGTCAATTGGCTACGTAGTTAATTTGCAGTGACATCTTGAATATGCATCACTTAGCCAAGTGAACAGGTGCCTAGTCTGACATATTGCAAAATGGGCTGGAAATTGGCTTCTTTCAAGCTTCGCTCCTATCACAGATTGGCTCAACTGTTGGTGACAGCCTGACTGGCTTGTTTGATAATGATCAAGTCACCATATGCCAGATGGGTCAAAGAATTAGACTTGCGACTTCCGTTTTGGATAACATGCTGATGTGTGCGATTAGACAAATTATGGTAAGTGCAATTGCACTCAAGGAGACAACTTTCTAGTGTCTTCATCATGTTGATGCCGCTCAGGACCTGTCCTGTTCCCAACTTTTGGGAGCTTGAGACCAGTTGAAGAAGGACAGAGGTGA